ATTAGCGAGGCGCCGCTTCTGCGGGAAAATTTCTCGCAACCGTTTTTTATGGTGCTTTTCATCTCAGAAAATCATCATCTCTTCTGCAAAAAGCAGGTAATAACCGCTGAAGTAGGGAAGATTCCCAAAAACGGGGTTTCTCGATTGATTACTTAACCTGAGAATTGACACAGCAGTTTTCGAGAAGGTCAGAAAAATGTCCACAAAATGGTCATAGTTCCAAAGAAAAAATGGTCGTAGCCAATTATAGACGAAGGCTTTCAACAATCTGTTGTTTCGATTAAGCCTTTAGTATTAGATATTGCAAGATAGCTATCGAAAACAGCACAAAAAATCAAAATTTGACATTTCTGAGAATCATAGTTTTTTGTGTAAAAAAATTGAGAGTAGCAGTTTATGCAGAATAAATGCACGCAAGCTGTAATAACAGATTAAACCCAATAACTCAGTTTAAGGAGGGTAGTTCTCGAGAAAATTCATATGCAAAGAAGATTCCTACAACCCGCACTTTGGATTTGACCTAAGATCTCAGATATAGAAGAGAAGTTTACAAGAAAATTTGAAAAAACTTACACAGAGGCGAAGCTGCGCTTCCCAAAGGCAAGCTAGAAAAATGCAAAAAAGAGCTCCAAAAAGAATTAAGGAAAAATTAAAAATAAACATTAAAAAATTTGTCGAGCTTAGGAGTATCAGGTTTTCAAATCTGTTCCGCGACCGCTTGTTATTTTGCTAACACTAGCCACCAATAAAGCAGCTACAGTTTCTATCAAAATGCCAATGTTATGAAAACTCGACCAAAAAAAAACAACTACTTAAATGTTCCGGATTTGAGTCTCCGACCAGTTAATTAGGAGTCTCAAGTCCCACCATCTGCTTCACAGTCGCCTTGAAGTTAACTAGTGGTCCAGCTTAGGCTGGATCTACCTGTTATAATATCTTTAATCAAATATTCTACTAATACGGAAATAAGTAATTTTCAAAATTTCAAAAAAATGGACGCTACCCTGGGTTAAAAATTTCCAAAAAGACCCTAGGCTTTCTCTGCTTGAGTAGGGGATTAACTGCTTATTTAAAGGAGAAAATACTACTTGCAGTTTCAATTGAATTCTTTAACTCAGATCCGAGGGGGTAGTTTTCATCAAAAGTGAAAAAGATTCCAAAAATCGGTCAAAAACCATAAAATTGACTTTTCACTAATCCATTAAGTTTTCTAGACTGAGGCATGGGAATGGATTCTGCTTTTCACACCCTGATTTTTACATCGAAAATTTTCACACCCTATTTTTTTAATTTGAACTCTCCCGAAATCCATATCAGCTTTTCTACAACAACAACAAAAAAAAACAAGTTGAAACAGATTACGCAGCAAAAATCTAAGTTTCAAGGAACTACCAACCTCAGAATCAGCAGGTTGGGTTTTGAATAAAAAAGAATAACTTTCCAAAAAAACAGGAAAACTTTCACAAAAATGGGACATTTACAAGGCCAAATATTTTTTTCGAAATTCAGGGCATAGATTTTTTCGAAATTCAGGGCATTCAGGGCTGCGCAGATAAGATTCGCATATCTGTTTTTTGGTTGAACCCTTAGTCTCCGATTTTGCGGTGTAGGTTTTGAAAAAAGTCAAAAAATTTTAAAAATCAACTAAAATGTCAAAAAATGGGCTTGTTTGAGGCAAAAACTTTTTCAAATGAATTGAGGGAATAGCCGTTAGGGGAGATCTGTTCTTTGTTCTTTTGATTGAAACCTTCATCTCAGATTTGTGCATTCATTGTTTGAGAAAATGGGAAATGAGTAAATAGTGCAAAAAACTTCCAAAGCGTCTGAATAAAAAACTAAAAACAACAAATCCCATACATGATCATAATACATGTTTTGTTTCAAAAGGGACCTAGCATTAACCAAAATTACAGCAGCAAAATATGCCATTAAATTGTTTATGCTCAAATATAATTTATTTGAAATATAGCAAAAGTGCCAACAAATTAGCACTTTTATTTGATATTTCCGAAAACGATTATTTTTTAGGTAAAAAAATGCCAGTTGTCGGTAAAGCTGTAGATTAGCTTATGCTATCCGTTATCTCCTTTAAAACCACAATTTCAGATTTTAGAGGTTAGTTTTTGGAGAAAATAGTGATTCAAAAACAGTTAAAAATTTAAAATTGAATATTTCGAGAGCCATAGTTTAAAAAAATTGAGTGTAGCTGCTTATGCAGGGAGCTTTCCACAACTCATTCTATTCATTGAAACAAAAAAATCAAAAAGATGAGCCAAATAATCCCTCACAGACTTCTTCGAAGGCAGTAGACAGAGAAGTAAGGTAAAAGGAGACAGGAAAGTACGCAGGCACACAAGAGAGTAACCGGTTTTCCATTGATACTCCTGTGTTGAAAATCGGTTGAAAGGAGAATACCTCAAAATTGCAAAACTTTGAGAGTAACTAAAAGTTTTGCTAGCATAGAAAAAATTTCCAAAGCGTATAAAAAACACTAAAAACCCAATTCCATACATTTTCATAATAACTGCTTTTATCAAAAAGTACCTCTCACAATTATTCCAAGCAAGAAATTTTAAATTAGCAACTGAACCACACGTACCAAGCGGGAACGTCGACAACCTTTAAGCAGAGACTAGTTGAGCCGAAAAAAAATCATTTTATGAAAACTGGAAAATTCAAGTCCCAATAAAAAATCAATGAAAAAAAGCAACTACCAAGATACTTGCCCAGAGCACTGGGAAAACCTGTGAGGTTGAATCTGACCCGACATAACGTTAGCAGACCAACGAATGTCAGACAAACCATTTTTACCCCCAAAAAATTCAATTTTATTTCAACTAAAAAAAACACAAGATCCTGTTGGGATACAAACCCTGGACCTAAGTGTGCAAAGACAACCGCGTTACCTCTAGGACAAACGCGAAGGAAACTGGAAGTTGTTAAAATTCGATAAAAAAGTAATTTGAAAATTTGTTAGAAAAGTTGTTTGCGGGAAAAAGAAAGTCTAGTTACAGATTACAAGACACTTGCTTTCGCAAGTAAAAAGAGTCTCAACTCTGTTAATCGACTCTTAAACAGATGACAACTAAACGTTGAAATGAACGCAAATTCCAAGAATGCACACAGAGGCGAAGTTGCACTTTGCATACACAAACAAAAATATGACCAATAAAGCCACTGGGAAAAACTGAATGAGTAAAGTTTCCTAGGTGAAGCACGCCAATGATGATTCTACATAAATGCCAAGTGACGCAAGCGAATTATGACGCATTACCAGAACCAGCCAATTTGAAAAAAAAAGAAATTTACCAATTAACATGCCTCAATTTATAGAGGGAATGCATTTTAACTGGTATACGAAAAATTTCATTCAAAACATCCGATACTGCCCAGTTTCCGACCCTCTTATTTTGTGTCTCTTTCCCTACTTTTACGCTACAGATCCATGATACCTTGAAGCGCTATTTGTAATATAATTGTTTGGTTTAAGATCCTTAGCATTGGCTGTACTTAATAACTGGTCATTAATCAAAATGAAAACTTTCAAAATGAACACATTTTGTCGCGAAGATATTTGCGTCGCAACAATATTTGCGACTTGGGTTGGAAAAAAGAGAGTTTATACTATGACACAAGCTTTGCTTGTGTAAATAACCATTTGTTGACTTGAACAAAAATTCCTGAAAAAAATTGAACTGCAGACCTATGTTGAACAAAGTAGGAACGTTACTCTGTGCTAGCTGAGTACGACCACCTACTAGGAGACAAAATTTCAAACAATTATAAAGCTCTAAGATTAAATTGTCCGAAAAATTCTTAATCATTATCTGCAAAAAAAATGCTAAATTGGGAATTCACATTACGATCCTATATCTCAAAACAATTTCAGAACGAGACAGTCAAAACAGCGAAGCGAAAAAATGTAAAAATTAGCTAAGAGCTTTGCAAATATCTTATTATCGTTTCAAAAATCATTTCAAAACAAAACTTGTATTTTTTTCATAACGTTAGCAACCCATTTACACATACCCAACAGACATGTGGAGAAGAGTCACTGAACGCAAGGAAACAGGACAAAACACTGAATTGTTTTTTGAAAGAAACTTCAACATTCAAACTTTAAAGGAAAAAATAGCCTTGAAGCTCTTTTAAATTAAGAACAATTTCTGATTGTCACTTTTTTTTAAATAACCTAACTTGAGAATACCGGATCAAAGGTAAATTTATGATTCTGCCGGGAAAACTAATATGAAGATCCGATTTTGATACTTGAAGCCATTTTCGTATATTTTGCGTCATTTTTTTTATTCAGTGGAGAGCGTAATTTTTCTTTTGTTTAATGCAAATTAATTTGAACTGACCTCACAAAAAATTTAAGAAAAAAACAAATCAAAATTATGAACAAAAAACTCACAAGAATCAAAACCACTTCATTCATTGACACTCAAAAATGTATGATTTTAAAGCCCTTTGATTTTCAAAAATCTTTTATGGTTAATAAGTAATTTATTTTGCTGTAAATTCTAAAAACTTAATCCTCTTTAAAGACGAAGAGTGAAGTGCATTTTTTAACACCAATTGCATTTTCGTGATTGAAGAGCGTAATTTGCCTTCCAATTAGCAAATCAATTAGATATGAACTTGAAGCGAAATCAAAAGCGAGAAAAAAAAAACAGAAAACGAATTGGCCTTTACTTCGTTAATTTAACACACCTCAGTTGTTTCCATCAAAGCAAAGCAAGTGAACTAACAAAATTAGCTGAGGTTATCATTAATCATCAGATATGAAAAGCTGTTAAATATCTTCGTTCAGTTATTAAAATATAATGAGAAATCGATTAAAATTATAAAGGATATTACAACATTCCTTAATGCTTACATGTGCCTTGAACTATTCAGCAGTTATGAAGCTGTTAAAAAGCTTGGTTCGGTTATTAAAATATGATGACAACAAAACGAACAAAGCGATATATGACATTAGAATATTCCTTTATGCTTACATGTGTCTTGAAACTCGTTTGCTCCATATCCTAAAATTTTTTTGAACAACATTAACTCTAAATTCAAAGAAATGAATATGTTATCTTCAACTATATCAACTATAGCAATTTCATTTTCTCGCTTCAATTGGAAATATCTCAATCGGCTTTCAAACTGAGCTGACCACTCTTTTATTCACAAAATTGTTCATAATCTTTGAGAGGTGAAATTAATGAAGAATACGCCCGTCGTTTTTTTAACGTTCTGAGAAAACTTTGCATTTTCATTCAAATATCCGTGTCGAATTGAACAAATAAAACGGCTTTTTAAATTTCAGGTTGAGTCGACAGCAATTGGATGCCGTAAAATTGTATCACAAAAGCAATTTATGAGTTGGGTCTGAAAGTATTGACAAATTTAGATAAGAATGCAATGAGACCAAATAATAGGCCAGTGTATACATACACTAAATGGCCAGCCCAGATCAAACTAATCTCGGGCAGCGAAGCACCAGATCATCGGTGGTATGAACTAGCCAAAAACATTAGAAGATTGGAAAAAAAAATAAAAGAACAAGGAAACCGAAAAGAAGTTGATTGAATTTCAAGAACTCGTCATGATTGGCACTTTATTCACAACATTAACCCAATTTAAGAAAAGTGGATCAATGGGGAACTTTTTTGTTACGCTTAGAAATTTCAAAATTAAAATCCACTTTCGAAACTAAGTGCATTAATATGTTTCATGAACTTCTGAAGTTATCAGAACATTTAAAGACCTTTCCTGAAAACTAAAATTAAAAAAACCATCGAGACCTATATCAAAGAACTTGAATGTTTCAACTTGAATGATTCAACTTCCAGCTGATGGTATACTGGCTTAAATTTCTACTCGCTTACACTCGAGTTTTTTTTACACAAGACAGTTTAGTTTGACTTACTTGTTGGGATTGTACTGGAAACAATCCAGACATATTTTCAACGCACTCAGGAATCCATATTGCTGTTCATCACTACTGTAGTCCCACCAATTGCTAAGAATGTCCACATTACAATATTTCAACACGTGCAAAAACGCCAGAAGCAAGTTGCGGATCTCCTGACTATCCAGCGTATCAAACCTAACTGTGGAACTGGATGACTTTCTGCTCCCAGAATATTCCACAGGTGAGAACGCGACTGATGATTGCTTTTGAACCGGATGTTCCGAGTTGCCGTGAACTAGTTCCGAGATGCTCTCGGTTGAGATTGACCTGGACAGTGGTCGGTGAGAAGATGGATGTAGAAGCAAAGTGTTGCCGCTGAAGTTTAGTCTGTTCACGTTTTGGACCACAATTCCGAAGAGAGGGACAAATAATGATGTCACAATTGTCTGGTTGTGCTGAAAAATAAATCAAACATAGAGGTTGACCAAATGTCAAGAAGGACTCCAATTGAAAACGTGCTTCAAATTAAGAACATGGCCTACAGTCAGAAAAGGTAGAAACTGTACAAACAAGCAGAACGCTGTTGATTTCAATTCAATGGCGTACAAAACTCCTGAATTAGTTTTCAGCGTTCACATTTTAGGGTTATCTCAAATAGAGATATCATTATTTTTGAAGACTGTTTTGTTTCGTAAGCTATAATTAGGTAAAAACTGTTCTTTGTGCCATTTGAAATTTAAGGCTACTGATAAGTTTTAAATAACAGCCATTTTCAGTACAATAAGGCACCGAATTTGGTACAATAAGGCAAAAAAACAAGAAACCGCAATGTCCGAAACCTTATGAGTGACCTTGAATACAAACCTCATTTGAATATCGGGTGTCAGCCGAGAGCTTCGCGAGGATATTTCTCAGCAGACAGATGGCACCACTCCTTATTTTGGGCACATCGTTGAAGTCAAAACTCACTTCGCCCAAAGCCAATGCAGATAGGAAATGCTTGCCAAAGAACTCCTCATTCAACGTGAACTCCCGATTGAAATCTAGAAAATAATGAAGCTTTTAATAATTATAACGAGCAAACTAAAATCAGAAAATTTTTTGATGGAATAGATAATTTAATTGATTTGATTTTTTCAGAAGCAAAGCTGCACTTTGCACACAAGCGAGAAAAAGTCAAAAAGCAACAGGTGAAACTTATTTAAAGTCTGATTTGCCGCATTCGAACCTCCAAACTGGAGATTAAAAATCACACGACCCAGCATCTGCACCATGTCCGCCTAACAATAGTTTAACACTAGGAACCCAGCTAAACCTGGGGTTCCCTTTTTGATAATACTTTTAAAAATGTACTTTTTAAAAATGTAAGGAGAACACGCTTCTGCAAAGGAGATGACCTCTCCATTTAATTAATTTCTTTTTTTTTCAATATTGGCACGGTCATTTTTGGGAAACTGAACAAGTTCAAAAAAAGGGCCAATCGGTCAAATATTTCTGAAGTCCTTGGCAAACTCCTTGCCAAAATCAGAAAAATCCGCTTCTGTAGCAAATACTTTTACGGCTTGTTCTTCCAATTAATCCCAAATTCTCAGATTTGACAGCGTGATTTTCAAGAAAATCGAAAAAATTTCCATACGAACAAAATTTTGCTAAGTCCAACATTGCTCTTCTACAAAAATTAGGTCGTAGTCGCTATGAAGAAAAATTTCCGAGCACAAGTTCTTTCGGTTGAACACTTGATATTTGATCTTAGATTTGGCAGAGTAATTGTCGAGAAAAGTGAGGAAAAAATTGTTAGAATTACGAAACATGAACTTTGTTTAAATTTAACATTGCTTTTCTGCAAAAACTATGGCGCAGCCGCTAAACAGAAAATTTTTCTAGCAACTGTTCTTTTGACTGAACCCTTTTTGTCCTATTAGGCAGGGTAGTTTTCGACAAAATTCTCCGAAAAACTGTCTACATTTCATTTTTCTAAGTCCAGAGAACTAATTTTCAACAAAAATTAGGGTGTGGCTGCTCATGCAGTTTAAAAATTACTACTCCGTTTTTCCGATTAAAGCATTTATCTCAGATTTGGCAGGGTAGTTTTCGATAAAACTCAAATAATTCCGAAGCAAGAGCAAAACTCCAAATCAAAAATTGTTAAAAAAAAATTTGAGGCGACAACTTTTTCAATCAAACAATTAGGACATTACCAGTTGTGCAGCGAAGACTCACAAAAATTTTTCTTTCTTTTAAACCCTTAGCCTCAGATCTGGAAAGTTTCCAAAAAAAACTATCAAAATTCAAGGCCAAAACTTTTTCTGCCATAACTAGGGCGTAACAGCTTATTCAGGGGAGATACCCAGCACACACTCTTTTGATTGAACCATTAATATCAGATTAGTCATGGTAGTTTTCGAGAAAACGAAAACAATCCACAAAAACGGCTCAGATATTCACCGATTTAAAATTCACAGAACTTCCGGTGAAAAAAAAAGAGCTTAGCGGCATATCAAGGCACACAGGTAGCCATTCTCCATTGCAACAAGTTTTTTTTAAATCGGTTAAAAAGAAAATTTTAAAACTTTGCAATAAATGCATATACTTTCATAAGCGTCTAAAAATCCCGTACATTTTGTTAATACCTGTTTTTATAAAGCAGGAGTTAGGCAACATTAAACCAGCTACAAAAATAAAACGCGGTGAAACAAAATTTAACCTTATACAAAAATGCAAAGGTGCCACCAAAACAAAAAGCTAAGGTGCCACCAAATAATGAGCACCTTTATATCCGACTTGGGTTGAAAAAAAGCGAAACCGTAAATTGATACTAGGCATCAGTTGTGTACCAAGGCAATTAGCGTTTGGGAAATCAACCAAGCCACAGATTAGCACCAATTGAGCATCATTTTTTATGGTTTCAAACCAAGCAAAAGTGCTGAAATTTAAATACAATTACAAAAAAAATTAAAAGCGAAACGCAAAACTTCTTACCCTTCTTGTCACAAGAACCTCAAAAGATCATGGAAGTTCCAAAAACAATTAATAAAAAAGATTTCTTTTTCTACAAAACTAAACGAGGATAATCGTTGAATTATGGTTCAAATTACCTTTTGTCCAAACGGTGCCGAAGTGCTTGTTCCTCGCAATCACAGGCAAACTCAGTGCCACAAAATGCTCGTGAGTGCACACTATACTGAGAAATTCTACTCGCAACTTCACAACTCCTTTTCCGTCGGCTAAATTCAGATTTCCGAATTTAGTCCAGTAAATTTTGATCAAATCAAAGACCTTTCCTCTGTCCATAACTGATAGAAGGTTCTTCAAAAAGAAAGCGAGACTACGATTAGCAACGAAGGTTTCCTTGAATAGAGCGCCGTTTCTATCCATGATTTGTTGAGATAGGGATGTCACTAGCTGTGCGAGAGTTTCGTTGTATATTTCTGAGAACCAGTCAGCGCGAGGAATCTGAAAAACATGGATAAACAATTGCAACGATTTCCAACAGCTAATAAGTCTGACAAGAAGTCGATCAACCATGGTTGAACCTACCATAAGATTTCTGAGGACGCAGTCAATAGCATTTGTTCCAATTAACATAGGGAATTACAATAGTTACTTATCTTAGTGCCATAACTAGGTTCATGCACGAAACTTGCATGTTGCAAATGATGGCTCACCTCCACTGACTTTAACACAAAAGACTGATTGCAGTGAAAACTGTACCATATGGAGACCGTTTAAATCATGGCAATTTTTGATCTGAGGTTTTTGAGTCATTTCTGTTCCGAATTTGAGTTACTTTAATAATAATTCCAAGTATCCCATTATCAAAACATTTTCACAGTTGCGGATTTAAGGGGGTTGTGGCGGAAGCCCTTTCCCATCAGGGATTCGACCCCCTGCCGACCCAAATGGTCCCCCTTTGTACTATTTTGAGATATCCGTTTTTGGCTGCTTGACCTTAAAATTTTTCTACACGCGCCAGTATATTCTTATTTTGAGGGGCCGAAAAAACGCAATTTCGGGTCGAAAGTTTCCAAAAGTACATAAAAACGCCTTTTTTGGCCTGTTTTTTGAAAAAATTGGCTGCTGCGCAGAAAATTTGGTCAAAATAGTGTCTTCAGAGTGATTTGGGAGAGCTCAGAAAATCAATTTGGTCGACAACATTTTCAACAAGAACAACAGGCGGTCACTTTGCAAATAGCGCTTCATGTTTACAACGCAGGTATCTTTACGAAAAACTAATGCAAAAATTTGTTTTTGAAAAAAAAACTTCGGCATTTTATCAAATATATATCATTTATAGGTTAACAAAGCTGCAGAAGATAAACATACCCAACAACAGACAGAAGGAAAAGTTTCAAAAAGCTGAAAATCAAACCCAATTGGAAAAAAACAGTCAATAGATTTTTTATTGCCCCCGGTCCTACTGAATGCAGGATCAACTAAGGTGGGGGGGGGGGGGGGGATGTCATCCATTTTACCGCAGCCGGTCCCACCTTGAGAATACGGATGACACTGGAATCCCTCCAACCGTGACCTAAATGAGATTCGAACGCACGGCCATCGTGTTGACCGACGCTGGCCAATAGATGTTTTTATATAACAAGTATATTTTTACAAGTATATTTTTAATATTAAAAATCATTACGTTTTTTGCGCCATTTGAACTTTGTTTTTAGGGGTGATTTTCTCTACTTTTCAGCAAATTAGTTTGAATGGAACTTTCTAACAAAAATCAGAAGTTCAACGCGAAAAATCAAACAGAAAAAAAAACAATCACGACCTGTATAATTCATTCACTACCTAAAAAAAATCAAAAAGACCTTCATATAGGTCTCATATTCGTTTACTGACATTTAAAAACTTAGCTAGACATATTCTGCACCTTGAAATAGAGTTCGTCCTAAGAATAAAAGTTTTGGCAAAACTTTCCGCTCGCTAATTTCGCGAAAAAAAGGACAATATTTTTTCTGGACACGTAGAAAGATTTATAAAAATTCGTTTCGAATTAAGATTAAAAGGATATCAAAATCGTATCCTGACTACCTTTACAATTTTCCTTGAAAAACCAAATTACGCAAAAAACACCATGCATCAGTGAAGAGTCGGGATCATAACTTCGGAATAATAGTCTGTGCTTCTTGGTTATCAACCGCATAAACGCGATAAGTTATCTAGATATTTTGGATCTTTCATACTTTTGAAAAAAATATTAAACCAAAAACATTGCCAACAGGCATTTAGAAAAGTGTCATGAAACGCAAGGAAACCAAAACGAAAATGAGTGAAATGTTAAAAAAAATCAACTTTCAAAGTTCGAAGAAAAAAATGGTCGGCATAAAAACTCTTGAAAATACAAAAATTTATAATTGATTTTTTTTCGCTTAAAGAAACCAATTTGAAAATCCTAGATCATGAACAGAAAGTTTTAATCCGCTGGACAGTCTGAATTGGACTAAAAAAATCAAAAGTCAAACCGCAAAAGATCGAATTTGGCGTGAATAAATTTTTGCAAAACAAAACGAAAAGAACTCGACCTATAAAAAAACTTCACTACGTTTACCGACTCATAATAAAGGATAGCCGGTTACTGAGCAAATAGCATAGAAGATTGCAGCTACAGTAATCATCAAAAAAAATTTGTCTAAACTTCTGTTTTTCAGTGGGTAGGAATGAGAGACAAAATGTAAACTTGAAAAACTATTAATGGCTTCAGTAAGCTACAATCGTTGTCAAAATTCATAACAAAAGTGTCAATTTGAAGTTTTTAAAAAAATTTTACGCTGGGAAAGAGCAAAAAAAACTTCAAAAACTGCTGATTTGAGCTTAAACAAATTTCAAATCTTACTACATGCTTAACCCTCTCTACTGAATTACTTTACTTGCTCGAAATTAGCCTAAAAAACTAGATACCCGTTTTTTCTCCATCTTTCTCAAAACATTTTAAAAAATTTTACAAGTAATTCTAAACGCGACTGTCAGGGCTTCAAAATGATACATCACTCGTTTTTTATAACATAACTAACAGGCAGTAGTAAAAGAGTCAATGAACACAAAAAACAAAGAAAAAAATTTGACTTGTTTAATGGAAAAACGTCGACTTTCGAATTTCAAACAAAAAAAATATATGGCCTCAAACCTCTTGGAATTTCAAAGTCAATTTATCCTTGACACTTCTTTGATAAAATTAACCCAATTTGAGCAGAAATGTTTTGATACGAAACTTGAATTACAACAACAAGTTATAATTCTTTTTGCTTAAATTTAACCAATATGAGAATCATGGATCGAAAAAGGAAATTTTATTCCGCTGGGCATTCTGAATTGCAATTAAAATGAAATCAAAAGTCAAATCGCAAAAAATCAAACTTCACGTGAACAAACATTAAATTTTCTCCTTAAAAACGAAAGAGAACTCGACCTATAAAAGAGTCTTCACTAAGTTCATCGACTCTCTAAACAAGGATAGCCGGTTACTGAGCAAGGAGCATAGAACGTTCCAAGCAAACTAATGAATAAACACTATTTTTTGTCTACAATTGTGTTTTTCAGTGGATAGAAATGAGATAAAAACGTAAATTTGAAATACTAGTATTGGATTCAGTAAGCTACAAATATTGTCGGAATTCATAACAAAAACAAGCAAATAGAAACTTTTGCACTGAGAAGGAGCAAAATGAAATTTCAAAAGCTGCTGATTTGAACTATAAACAACTTTAGAACCTTACTTTATGCTTTACGCTCTCTACTTAATCGCTTTACTTGCTCGAAATTAGTCATCACAACTGTCAGGGCTTTAATATGATAGATTTGATAAGTTCATTGATAGATTCTATTCTAATGATACTTTGTGGCACCTTGTTTTGCTTCGAAAATTTTTTAAATAAAGCCAACATGCAGTTGTAAAAGAGTCAATGAACGCAAAGAAACAGAAAAAATTGACTTGTTTTTTGAAAAACCTCAACTTTCGAAGTTCAAAAAAAGAATGTATGGCCTTAAAGCTCAAGAGAAATTTATAATTGACAACTTTGTGACAAAAATTACCCAATTTGAGACAAAACGTTTGGAAATCAAACTTGAACACAGAAACGTAGCTGATTCGTACCACTTGCGATACAAAACCAGAACTAGCTAAGTCAGCAAAAATCGAAAATGTCAAAACAACTGAATTATCACAATGAATCAATTTGAAACAAAAGCATGCCAAGACAATAGACTGCAAAAATCGCATCAGAAGAAAACTGGCTTAGAGGGTATTTTCGTTATAGCTTGGTAAGTTTTCTTCTGATGCAATTTTCACAGTCTATTGCTTTGGTATGCTTTTGTTTCAAATTGATTCATTGTGAAAATACCCTCTAAGCCAAAAAAATAAACAAGTCCCACTCACCCTCAAAACAGCCACAAACACACACACATACACACTTTATTTGCTCGTCAACTAAAACAATTTGAGGCCACTGAGCCGATATCATATACGCCGAAACCTATTAAGTCGAAAAAAAAAGAAAATAAATGAAAAAACCGAAAAAAATCAGGACTAAAAAATATTAGGTCCCCTCGCCATTAAAAAAACACACACGCACAAAAAAAATTGTTGCTCGTTAAAAGACGCAATGTGAGTCCATTAAACCGACATAATATAGGCAAAACCTATCAATCAGTAAAAAGTTTTAAAAAAGCCGAAGAAAAATGTTGTCATGAAAAACATGAACTGTATTTTCTCCTAAGAATTTAACATCTAGTGCGATCCAGTGAGCATTTAAACTACACTACCATTGAAACTACTTAAAATTAGGTCACTAAGCCGATAAAATATAAACCAAATGCATTTGGTTGGAAATAAGTTTTTGGGCGAAAAAATCAAAACGAAAATTTACGAAGTCAAGGAATTACAAAAAGCAGAAATAAATCAAAACAAAAAGCATCTACAATTTAAATTGCGCAGAGCAAAAGAAAAACATATGATGTGGCAACTAGGCCGACAAAACATAGGCAGACGAATAATACACAGATAATTTTTTTTGAAACGGAAAGTTTCTCATTTGAAATTAAAAAAAACACTTCCTGTCAGGTTCGAACCCGGAACCTTTGCAGTCCCAGGCATATTCGTTATCTCTAGGCCGAAGGTGCCAGTGACGCAAAGGAATTTTAAAGCATTATGAACTGAAAGTAAGTTTCCCATTTCTAATTTTGACCATTTTGTGAACAAAGCTCTCTACGGGAAAAAAATCTAGTACTCTTGTTTACTTATGTTTTTTTTTTCTAAAATTAAACCAAATTGAGAATCGTGCAGCAAAAAGTGTATTTCCGCAGGCCATTCTGAATTGAACTTAATAAAATGGCCTTAACGCTCTTTGAATTTTATCAGCTATTTATAACTAGCCCTTTTTGGAAAAATTAACGCAATTTAAGAAAACTGGATTATTAGGGGAAGTTTTTATTCCACTGCGAAATCTGAGGAAAAAAAACATTTTCTTTTTTGAAACAAGAAACCGATGATGTTTTTCGCACCATTTCAGTTTTCATAATTGGGGAGTGCATTTTGCACACCTTCTAGCAAATTAAATTGGAATCGAATTCAAAAAGTGCATTTATTTCTAGGGCACTCATTTGTGCCTTTATAAGTATCACGACCAATATATGAGTCTGAGCTACGTTCATCGACTCTTAAAACCAGAAAATCGAGTTGTAGAAATAATGACCGACAACACTACTGGGAAAAAATGAATGAGTAAAAGTGACGCAAGCCAATTATGACGCATTAGCAGTACCAGTCAATTTGAAAAGAAATTTACCAACTAATATGCCTCAATTTATAGAGCGGACGCATTCTAACTAATATACGAAAAAGTAAAACATCCGACCCAGCTGAGGTTCGAACCCTCTTATTTTGCTACTGGTCTCCTTCCCTACCTCTACGCTACAGAACCATGATACCTTGAAGCTAAAGTGCTATTTGTAATATAATAGTCTGTGTTAATATCCTTAGCATTGCCTGTTCTTAATAGCTGGATCAAAATGAACACTTTCAAAATGAACACATACTGTCGGAACAATTGCATCGCAACAATATTTGCGACCTAGGTTGGAAAAAAAGAAAGTTCATACAATGACAAAAGCTATGCTTGTGTAAATATAAGTAATGAAAGTGGCTGCAGGACTTGAACCACCTCTGAAACGGAGAGCTACAATACAGGTCAATTTCCATCACACTAAGGCACATCACATTGCCTTGCTGTGTTCAGTAGTTTACACACTCTTTTAGTAAACACCAAATAGTAATGAAGTCGCGGATGAAGCCAATAAATTGTCAAATATTACTTGAGCAGCACAAAAATATTCTAATTACACATAAATTGACCATAAAATTATACCAGTTAAGTTGATTGGAAAAAGTGAACTCGTAGTTAGTACAAGTGCTTGCATTTGTGTTTAGACTTAGCGTCTAAAAGCTTCTTCAGTGAACAAAAACTATTCTATTCTTTTCCCCCACCCTCGCGAAAACCCTAATGGCCCTGTACTATACTATTTTCAATCTAGCTATTGGAATTCTTGTGTACTACGTCCCTCACCTTGGTTTTTTGTTCCCTCAGAATGGTTTGAGCCATACTCTTCACTACAATGTCGAAGAACACCCAGGTGAAGTAGAGTAAGTTGCGGTAGAAGAACTCATCTCCAGAAGTGAACGACAGAAGAGATACCAGAGAGGATACTATTCTGTAATGTACAGAGCTTCGGTTTGTGTTCGCTGCAACACGTTCACTCGGCCCAGTTCTGAACACGAGCTGAAACGAACAATGAACACTTGAGATTCCTTTCGGATATGAATAACAACTCAGCCAAGAGTTCAAGTCTTCGAAAAAGCTGACCGACAGCATTTACACAGGCGAAGCTGCGCTTCGCAAACACTTGCGAGAACACGATCAAAAAGCAAAAACTCGGGTACGTGTCGGATTCGAATCTGCGACCTAGCAAATTTGGGTCTCACGCACTAACCACGGATGCTTAAAATCCCAGAAAACTAGCAACCAAAAACGCAGCTATATGCTAATAAATTGCCAATTCAATGCAGCAAAAGTAGCACCAAAGACAAAAAGACACAATTTTGGAACCAAAAAGCCAAATTATGAAACATAGGCGCTACGCGCAATACACCGAAGGCATAGAAACTGAAGCAAAAACCAAACAACTTGAACAACTAATAATTGAACAATAACAGTTCTAGAACAAAAAATCGTACTAATACATGTATACACCAATATTTTGCTATATCGAGAAAGAGCCTGAAATAACAGTTCTAGAACTAAAAATCGTACTAACACATGTATAGATTAAATTTTTGATATATCAACGAAGATCATAAAATAACACTTCTAGAACTAAAAATCGTACTAACACATGTATACACCAAAATTTTACTATATTGACAAAGGGCCTGAAATAACAGTTCGTGAGCTAAAAATCGTACGAACACATGTATACACCAAAATTTTGCTATATTGGCAAAGATCATGAAATAACAGTTCGAGAGCTAAAAATCGTACTAACACATGTATATGTCAAATTTTTGCTTTATTGACAAAGATCATGGAATAACAGTTCTAGAGCTAAAAATCGTACTAACACATGTATACACCAAAATTTTGCTATATTGACAAAGATCATGGAATAACAGTTCGAGAACTAAAAATGGTACTAACACATGTATACAATAAAATTTTGATATATTGACAAAGATCATGAAATAACAGTTCGAGAATTAAAAATCGTAATAACACATGTATACACTAAAATTTTGATATATTGACATAGATCATAAAATAACAGTTCGAGAACTAAAAATGGTACTAACACATGTATACGCTAAAATATTGCTATATTGACGAAGAGCCTGAAATAACAATTCTAGAGCTAAAATCGTACTAACACATGTATACACCAATATTTTGCTATATCGACAAAGAGCCTGAATAAACGTTGTAGAACTAAAAATCTTACTAACACATATATACACCAAAATTTTGCTATATTGACAAAGAGCCTGAAATATTGACAAAGGACCTGAAATAACAATCGTAGAACTAAATGTCGTACTTACGCATTGTAGATCAATTTCTATAGCTATAATAAAATACAAAAGATTGTGTTTGTATGTGTAGCAAAACGCCTCCTGTCGTTTCAATCGGCCAATCGTATAAATTGGCATGTAGACTCATATGGGTCTCCGGAATAACTAAAAATCGTACTTACACATATACTTACAAGAAAGAGCTAAAATGAAAAAAAGCTATTAGTCTTATTATATTGAGAAATTGTGAAGCAGTCTCAGAATTGACAGTATGTAGCAGTAAAGCAATCCGAAAAACAAATCCAAAAAACAAAAAAATATATATGAACAAATAACCAAACAAACAGACCCATAATATGAATAAATGAAAATAAATAAATGAAATAAATACACATACATAAATAATAAAAGCAAAACTAAATGAAAGAAAGAATAATTAAATAAATATAGAAATAAATATCAACAAATAAACAAAACACACCTGATAAATAAATAAGCAATAAAAAAATAAATCAATACATAAATAAATAAATAAATACATAAATAAATACATAAATAAATAAATAAATAAATAAATAAAAGCAAAAGTGAAATGTACAAATAATTAAATAGACATGAAAAAATATATATGAACAAATAACCAAACAAACAGACCCATAATATAAATAAATGAAAATAAATAAAATAAATAAATACACACGCAGAAATAATAAAAGCAAAACTAAATGAAAGAAAGAATAATTAAATAAATAAACAAAACACGTGATAAAAATAAACAAAAATAAATATGTACATACATAAATTATAAATAAATATAAGCAAACTAAACATAATTAAATAAATAGAAGAACAGATAATTAAATAAATAAAGATGAACAAATAAAGAAACAAACATACGCAATCACGTGACATAGCGCGATATAGTCCAGCCCACATGATAATTGATAACTGTGGACGTTATTTGTCGACACTTGACAACAGACAACATTAAAAAAAAAACCCCGTTACACGATACCATAACACCTTGACTAAAGTCTTCGGTGTAATAAATTATGCATTTCAAAAAAAACTGCGAAATACATTGGGTTGGAAAATTTCTGAAATCGAGCTTTTTGTCATTGTACTGCTGCTTGAAACAAATAACTTTTTTTCGGTTCATTTGATGAATTAAAAATGAATCAACGGTGTAAACTTTTTACTACTCGAATGTCAAAGCATATGCTATCAATAAGCTGTGAAGGTGCCCCAAAAAAGGCACCAAAATTTGGGACTTAGGTTGGGGAAAAATAGAAAGTTCGCGCTAGTACAGTTCGCAAGTGTAATAAGTTAACATCTATATAGTTCAAGAAAAACTGCTACAGTACATCATCGCAAATCAATTTGTTTGAAGGCGCGAACACTCAAACGAGAAATATTAAATTTTCCGGAAGAAATTGTCTGCAGGAAAATTTGCCCAACTTTGTTCATAATTTGATCTCGAAAATTGCTGTACCGATTCAGGAAAACGATAACTTTTATTTAAGTGAACAGCAGCGCACAACTTAAATTTCGGCCTACCCTGGTATAATCAGTTAGCAGATGTATGCGGCCAATTCTGTCCAGTGTCGATGCCACGTGCACGAGGAATCGCATGATGTTAATCTGGACATCTGAGTTTGTTTTCGTGATCAGGTCAAGAACTTTGTTCACGATGATTGGAAGATAAGCCACAAGTTCTGCTTCATCAATCGCGTGAGCGGCCTAAACGATCAAAATGTACGCACGAACGTCATGAATCAAAATTAGTAGCTTTTTTTGAATACTGAATCGATGACTTAAACAAAAATTTCCATTGAGTTTTTGTCCATCAAAATGAGAGCCCTATTTTAACGCCGTTTCCAGTAATGGCTCTGTAGTTATAAAGAAACGTAAGCATCGACAATCATGCCCTCGTACAAAGCCAAACTATCAAATGCAAACATGGTTAAATTTAGTTTAGGTAATATTACTGAGAGCATTGTTAAAAATTTTTAAGTACCTTGACATGTTGCAGAATATCGACTCCTTTAACAATTTTTCCAGTGACTTGCTCGCCTCCATTTTGCAAGACAGTAACCGCACTACTCTCACTGTCAGTTGGTGACACTGAGGGCGCCTCTTCACAGTGGGCGAAACTTTGAGTACCTCCGGAAGCGTCAATTTCAGCTGTTTTTGTTGAATTCTCAAATAAATTTCTCAGAAACTTTGAGTGCGGCAAAACTGAGCTTCGAATTTTGCATGAGAAGTTGAAAATATTTTTTCCACCGTCCAATAATTTGATTCTATCTAGTTTCTGCGATGTAGAAGTCATATTTTCCAGTGAGCTTTTCTGTAATGGCATAGGCTCGTCACTATCGAAACTCAGGTATCCCGGAACTAAAGATGCCGCTACTGGAATTGCAGTGCTAAATTCAAGAGTACCAGTTGAATCTTTGAAGCTACTTTGGTCCAAAATTGAACCTAAAGAGATCCAAGCGTAACCCACACTCGTTTCCAGAGACGACAACGAAGCTCCTGCCTTCTTACCGACAGTGGCACTGTTACTCGTGAGTTTCGAAACTTGGTCACAACTCACGTGATAAAATGTGAACAAAATGTGATGTTTCGAATTAAGTTCAGCAGGCAGTTCGATCTTAATTTCATCCTGATAATCTGGATTCGTATTGTGATGTGCAATAGAGGTCGTGTACTGGTCTGTAAAACAACTGTTCTGACCTAATATTGCGTTGTAGATGCACAAAAGAGATGCGGCTTGACAGGAATCGTTTTCGAAAAACTTTACATTGCATGCTATGTTGCGAGCTTTCGCGAAAACTTTCTGAGAATCGAACTTAAGTCGCATTTGATTTACGAACATTGTGTTAACATATTCTGAATGAGGGTTATCAATTAAATGCGAAAAAGGTGAAAACAGAAATGCTTCTCGTGCGAGTCGTTTGAAAACGTCTTTAGACATTCTTTGATTCGTAGTTTGTTTTTCGTTTGCTTTTGGAACCAGAAATGGGTTCAATACTTCAGTCTGATTAGAATCCATGAAGGTCATATTTTGAAACGTGAACACAATGTTAGCATCAGGTAAAAACCCAAATCGGTTCGCAAATTTTTCTGGTCTATCCAGATAATTCTTAGAATCCACGAGATTGCGTTTGACGCTTTCTGGACCCAATTTACACTGGTCAATTTTGACCAAGGGCGAAGAAATTCTATGAACTCCTTTCGCTTCATCAGCGTAAGTGCTGACTAGGTTTGCAGGTACTGGAACTGCTGCCCAGCAAAATGGAGTTCTGAATCTGGACCCAAACTTCTGACAAAACATGTGTAACTGCTTCAGATACTTTTGAACACTTTTATTTTCCTGGTCAATTCCCGACTTTCCGTACACATCAAACGATGACGTAATTGCACCTTGTAGTACTTTTTCTATTCGGACATACACAAAAAGGTGTTCTATCGGGGTATCTTCAGGAACTGTAAAAACGACTTCTTTTAGAAAATTAACTCTCGAATCATCGACTATATGACTTCTGACAGTTTTCTGAGGTTGTTGTGATTGATTTGGGTTATCGGGGTTCACTGGTAAGTCGTCGTATTTGATCATTTTCCAGACTGGTCCGGGGTTGCCGTCTATCCAGATGTCTTCTGATATTTTAAGTCCGGAGTTGACATTATGCAGACTGATGACTGTGAAGAAAGGCTCCATCTGAAATGAGACAATTGATCAGTGGAAAAAGCGATTAGGTGATTAATATTGTTTCTTTCCATAAAGCAAAAAAAACGAGTCAGTGATCAAAAATGGACAATATTTTTGACCACTGTAGAAAAACGATAGATTTTTTTGTTCCGACCATTTAAAAAATGGGTAGGAACTTTGTATTCGGATGTTTTTTTAAACAAAATCAGGTACCACAAAAAATCATCGGACTATGTTGAGTGACATATCATATTGAAGCCCTTTCAGTCGTGATTTGAACGACGTTAACAATTTCCAAAAAATTCCCGTCTTGCGAAAAACCTATTTATAACTTTTGATTTTTCGTCTATTTTCGAGCGAGCAAAGCGATCGAGTAACGTTCGTTATATATGAAACATAGCATTTTGGGCTAAATGAGCGCGAGTTTACTAAAAGGAAAACTAGTTTTAGACGCTTCATTTAGCGCTTCTCTGGTAAATAAAAACTTTCAAAAACAATAAAAAATTTTAGTTACAAAAATTGAATAAGTTTAAAACAAAAATTATTTGTTTCATTTTTCATTTCGATATTTATTGATTTTTTGAACACAATTGGAACCGTTTATGCCTAATTCATTTAACTTACACGCGTTCGTGTAATTCTATCATCACACGACGCAGAAAAAAAGACACTAACTTGAAAAAAAGACACTAACCTGTTATTCTTGCCTTATATTGTCTTCACTTTTTTTTTGCAAAACTTAAAATATTCTCACATTGTACTGTTTGGTTCCATCCTGTGCCACCTTCAGTGGGAAGTCCAGCTTTTCAAGTGTCATCAAAATATCCAATCTGCCTTTATTCGCTGGTTGATACGGAGGTGCCATATCGTCCTCCTTGTAGAACTTCATGTTGTCTTCCATCTCCAAGTATGTTTGCTCTTCGGCGTCCAAGTCTGTGTAGATTGAGAAGAGGGACAGTCTGTCTTTCTTTCTCGCTTCAGCTACTGATCTGTCAGTTTCCTTGCAGTACCTAGTTTATTTTATTAAATTCAACTCATCGTCCAGCTAATTTCATCCAATTAAAGCATCAATTTTTCAACACCGCCAGGCACTAGCCTTCAAATTTTAGCCGTAGATTAAATCTTATATAAAACTTGTGTAAAAAGCCAAAATCAACAAAATTTCAATGTAGCTCCTGGTCACATAAAGCGAAGTTATGAATTTTCCTTTTGAAATAACTTCCCTTGTAAAATAGCAGTAAATCTCTAGTTTATAACATTATCTTAATTTGGAAAACTCATGGCAGCCACTAAACATTTTGTTTAGTACAATCAGGGGCGGAACTAGGGTTTTCTCGAGGGGGGGCGCGGATTTTCAAAAAAAAGTTGATTTTGAGCTCTCCCAAATCACTATAAATAACCCTTTTGACCAAATATTCTGCTCCGCAGGCAAGTTTTTGAAAAAACAGGCCAAAAAGGCGTTTCTAGGCACTTAATGGAATTTTGACCCGAAAGTTGCGTTTTTTCGGCGCGCGTTCTCCCCTGAAAATTCAAATGGATCTGACTCATTCGATGCATACGACAAACCATACCTCTGAATGTCCGATCCCAATTCTGGATCTTTTGTGGACCCTGGTGCAAAAGGGGCCAATGTTTTACTCTTGGACACAAATGTGTTGGAAAGTGACTTTGTCCTGCTAGAAGGAGCATGTTGCTGCTGATTGACATCTGAGACGTCAGATACATCTGAGTTGTAGCTCTCGTCATCAACAGTGCCCACTAAAAAACGAAAAAAAACTAATCAATTTTATTTTCATTTGTATCATGCTACTCCAAGACTCATTGAAAAACCAATAATCCTCCCACGAAAACGAAAACAAATATGGCACAAAAAAAATTTGAAAAACCGTTAGCTGAGTATTCAAGCCGCCTAAGCACTGCATAAAATGAGAGAAAATTGTGTTCAAATTTATTTCGAAAACAGGTTTGCCATAAATTGAACAATCACATATCTACGCACTTCTCTAATCAGCCTAGTGGCATATTAGACTGCACCAATAGCAAAAATTTTTAGACTGAGTTTTTTTAGTCTGAACATTGAGATACCTTTTTCGAGTCTAAATCACGACTCAATTTTTCACGACTCAATATTTCATGACTCAATATTTCATGACTCAATAGTTCATGACTCAATATTTCATGACTCAGCTTTAATATGATATAATAATAATAATGATAATAAATATTATAAATTGTTTCCAAACGATATCTAGTTACAGAGTTATTTAAAAAAACTTACAAATACAAATTGGAATAGTTTGGGCGAACACCATTAAGCCAGCACGGCCCTTTTTCAGGTTATTAAACGTAAGCCTTTTTATTCGCACCTTTAAAACCTTCTCGATAAAAAATAAGTTTTTTTTTTGTTTTCTTGGGTAGTCTTTTCTACCCATAACCTAAAAACCAACAGAAACAAATTCTACACATTCAGCAAAAAATGTCCCAAAGCATGCCCACTAAAACTGTATTTACCAGAATGTTTTTATCCAAAAATTTATGATTAAACCTATTCAATTGAAACCGAGAAGTCCCTTTCAAGAAATTGACCCAGGCGAGAAAAAATTTACAACAATAAACATTTTTCTAATTTCAGGTGTAATCGACCCTCTGTTGAGTTTATTTCTATTTATATCTAACTTGTGAGTTGATTTCCTCGTTGAAAACATCACGGTTAACTCTTGTTCAGTAATGGCATATCTCAATGGATCAATCTGGCACTCTTATAATAATCGACTGACATCAATCGAGGTATTTGTGATAAAGGGATTTGAGTGAAAAAAAAATCCCACTTTAGGCTATCGTTCAATCTAAAAAGTCTCATTGTCTTATTTTACATAGAAGACAGTTTTTACACAGAAGCGAACTTGCACTTCGCATTCACAAGCAAAAATATGACCGATAACGCTACTGGGAAAAACTGCATGAGTAAAACTTAGAGTCTACACAATTTCTTAACATCCCCCCACACGCAATATTAAGTACAAAGTGATAAATTTCGCCCCTAGTAACAAATCAATTATGGCAAACAAGCTTCCTTCAATCTTTTTTGGAACGATTTCTATGACGGAGTAAATATCCGCTTACGCGTTAATAGCGCGAAATATATCGCCCGTTAATTGTCCAAAATTGGCCAAAAAGGCAATTTTCAAATCCCCATAACTTTAAGAAAAATAACCACTGGTGAAATATCGTTCCAAATTTAAGCTCAGGACAACAATATTTTTTGAATGATATTTAAAAAAATCTCGTCAACAATGTCTATTCAAAAAGTCTGAATTTTGTCTGAAGAAAAAAAAATCATACCGAGAACAAATATTCCGTTACTTTCGTTACGAAAGTCGGAACAAAAATAGTCTGCATTAAATCCTTAGCATTGGCTGTACTTAATAGTTGGTTATTGATCAAAAATTTTGGTAAATGAAATTATTGAAAACCTATAAATTTTGGACAGTATCAAAGTGTGGAATTTTGAGTCGTACGAAATTAATATGACCGATTAGCTAGCCTCAATTCAATTTGGAACGATTTCCTTCAGCTCAATTCAACTTTGTTTTGCGGGACAGTTCGCCACGCGTAAATATTTCGCGTAACGCTCTCAGCATCATGAATAAACTTTTCAAAGCGAGCATAATTTAGTCCAGAGCATGGACAATTTGGCAATTTTCAAACCCCAAAAATTTACAAAAAAGAATTGAAGGTAAAATAACTTATTAAATTTGAACCCAGTAACTTGATATCTTCAATGGGGTAAAAAAACTTTGTTGAAACCTATTATTTCAATCGGCGAAAATAAAAATTGACTGAATAAAAAAACCACACCGAGTATAAATATTCCGTTTTCTTCGAAAGTCCGAACGAAAATCCCCAATTGACAAATTATCTGTGGAAATAAATGAACACAAAAACTAAATACAGAGATTTGCTACCTATAATGGAAACAAGTCTGTTCATACTAGAACAAAAGCGTTTCTTCTGTAATTAGCCAATCGAAATCCAAAAAGGTTATTGCAACGATTAGCGGGAAAACAATCAGTTTTCTTTTATCGGCATAGTCCAAATGCATGGGCTAAATTATCAGGTTAGGCTTTTGCTGGAATAACAAAAACCAATTTAATTCACATGCTTACAAATTGCCAATGCCATGCAGCAAAAGCGGCATCAAATACAAATAGACACTATTAAGTAATAGTTTGGAATATAACACACTGAAGGCATCCACACTAATTTTGCATGCAATAGATTGGAAAGCATAACGCCACATTGTGTATGAAATATGCATTTCAAAAAGTTGCGATATATATTATTTAGAAATTTTCCGAAATCGAATTTTTATTATTGTTAAGCTGTTTGAAACAAAGCTTTTTTTCGGTTCATTTGATGAATTTAAAATGCATCAACCGTTAACTTATAACTACCGGAATGTCAAAGCACATGCTGTCATTAAGCCGTAAACGTGCCCCAAAAGTGGGAACAATATTTGCGACCTAAGTTAGAAAAAAATAATAGTCGTAGTATAATATAAACGCTCACTAACCTTCGCTATCGTAAAAAGGACTTGGTCAATTTGAGAAAAATTGGTCAAATCGTCTTTTTTCCACTGGGATATCTTCATTTAAAATTGACCTTTGAACTCACGCTTTTTGCGGCATTTGACTATTCGAGAGTGTAATTGTACCGACCATTAGAAAAAATGGAGAAGTACTTTGTATTCGAGTGTTTTAGTTTTTTTTTCTATTTTTCTTTTTGTTTTCCAGCCGAATAAAGCAAACGAGTAAAGTAATGATAACTTGTAAAATTGATCATTTAGTCTAAATAATTTAAATTTTTTAAACAATAATGAGTTTATTAAGCTTTATTTGGCACTTCTGGAAAAAACTGGATCAATAGGTAAAATTTTTGTTTCGCTGGGAAACCTGATAATTCAATTTCATTTTCGAAATTAGAAGTCGATCACGTTTTTCGTGAACTTTACATTTTTTCTGTTCAATAGTCGAGCTTGTCTTCCATTCAACAAAGGAAATGAAGTCAACTTTAAAAGAAATCAAAAGTCAAACCGCGAAAATCAAAATTGAGCGTGAACACATTTTAGGACTTTTTCCTGAAAAAAAAATCACCAAGACCTATATAGGAGTGTTAACTGTGTTCATTACTCTTGAACAACCTTAACTCACACCGCCAAATAAAAATTGATCGTGAACGAATTTCAAGATTATGTTAGAGAAAAAAAAGACCACCAGGACCCGACACGAACCACACTTCGTTACTTAACGTTAAAAAATATTGTCCTCCAAGCAATGATTTCTGTCTTTCGGTGCTTTACAGTTTACTAGGATTTAAGATATTCTGGAAATGGAACAATAAGGAAATAGACTCGAAACTACTTACCAGACTGGTTTGAGCAGCTCTGTGCGTCTAGTGAGTTGGACGTGATAATGGCCCTATGTAATACAGATGCCCACTCCTCCTGTTCCGCTTCGCTCTCAGTTGCCACTTGTAGTATCTGTCTGTTCTCAAAGTGCAACTCAATCACAAACTTACTTCCCCCCGACGAGAAACTGGACTTCGAAAGAGGCAGCTGAAATATAAAGCTATTAATTATTTGTATCATTATGATGAAGCTTTTTCTCAATCAAGGCTTCGGATTTTTGAAGAATATCTTCCAAATAAAAAAAAGAAAGCCGACGAAATAAAACAACATTGCGTGTTATTTCAAAGCAAATTGTCAAAAGAGATTGAACGTAAAATACCACAGAAGTAAATATTTGCTAAAAATTGAGAAATTTAAGAAAAATTATTTAAAGGTTAAAAAGCACGATACTTTTTATCCAAATCTGGCATTCAAAGAATGAAGACAAATCGTAAGTTGGTCATTCACTATGTCAATAGATATTTCTAAGCCGTTTAGGCATAGAAATATAAATTTGATAGTTTTTTCTAGTACATTAAAAGTTGTTTTATATCGACTTTACCTTTGAGGCGGATAGACAGCTCTCCAAGTTGAGACAACCCTTGTGCACTTCTTTCTTCTCGTCTTTCCAGTAGTCCAGATTGAAGCTTCCATCTTGGATCTGCTTCAGGGCAAAGAAGCGCTTCTTGAACGAGTTCTGAAACAAATCAAGGATGTATTTAAAATGAGTTCCACTTGAACGTACATCTGACATTCAAAAAATCTGCACATCTACGTTGCACGAAATAGTTGAAGATGACAGGATTCGATAAAAAATCAAACGCAATGAGAATTGCAACCTCACTGGATGAACTCAATCATGAAATCGAGCTGACCTTCGAGAAGAAATGTTTCTCCCCTTTTCTGTTGAACGGCGTTTTCCACAAGTAACCCTGCTTCACGATATTATTTTCTCGAATCTAAAACAATATCAATCATCTTACATAGACTTCATGCATATTAGCCCAATCTGACTTTCATTATTGAGTATGGATTCCCATTTGAAGGCAGGCTCAAATTAAGCAACCATTTAAATTATTGGCCATCTGTTTCAACGCGTCGTCGAGATGTTTAAAATCACATTTTCGACAGAAACTTTTAATTGATTTCTGTTGTACTTATTTTTTGAATGTTGTTTTACCTGTTGTGATAAATTGATGCTGTTTTCCACATCCAATTCGAATCTCTGAGTAGGCAGTGCACTGAACAGGTGACTGGAACCTGTTAATTCATTCGTGCTGGCGTCTGCGACTGATGAGTCACGCAGGAGGGAGAAGTAGGACCCAGAGAGGTTGGCATGTTTGAACTGAATTGACTCATAGTCGCTACGGTAGAAATCAATGCACTAAAACACGAATAGCGAATTGCAAGTGGCAAATTGTCTCCGAATTCGGCGCATTAACATTGTCTTTGATTATAAAAATGTTTGAAAAAAGTCATTTCATCAAAAGCATTTTAACCTGAAGAAGGCTTGAAAATCTAGGCTCGAAAAACTATTTTAAAAATGAAGCACATATGAAGTGCTAAGAGATAGTTTGGCGTGATCCGAGTTCAAGAAAATTTTTCATCAGGTACATATCAGCTTAATCAAAAAAAAACTGAACTGACTTTGTCTGAACTGAACTGACTATGTTCGGTTACAAGTCTTTTTTCAAGATCTGGAAGCGGCTAATCCAAATTTGATAATGCTTGATATTGATAAAAGAATCATATGTAATCCAGAACATTGTTAAGTTTCGTTAGACATCTTCGTAAGCACATAAATTTCAGCAAAATTTAGTTCAAGATCACAGTGAAACTCCATTACCAAGAAAATTAGCTAGCAGTTTACACCACTCATGCAGTGCGTCATGAAAATCCATTCACACAAAACCAAAGAAAAAACCGGTTGAATAAACGAAAAAAAAACCCGAAAACTCAGCAACCAACAAAAACGGATTTAAATATCGCAAATTTGGAAATGAAAGAAACCTGATAACGATTTGAAACCAAACCGATCACAAAACAACAAAAATCGATTTAAATATCTCATAGTTTGAAATCAAAGAAATCTGATAACGATAAAAACACTAAAAATTCTATTAACTACCCGACCATTAAAAAACAAATTTAAAAACATAGCCAACTGACAATTGGAAAAGAGTAATGAACGCAAGAAAACAGAAAAAAAACTGACTTGTTTTTTGAAAAAACTTTAACTTTCACATTGTGAAGAAAAAATATATACCCTGAAAGCTCTTTGATTTGCATGAACACTTTAAGATTGGAGCTTTTAAAACAAAATTTGAAAAAACTGGATTAATAAGTAAAACTTTTGTTTCGCTGGGAAATCTGATAATTCAATTTCATTTTCGAAACTAGAAGTCGATCACGTTTTTTGTGGCCTTTACATTTTTGCTGTTTGATAGTGGAGCTTGCCTTACATTCAACAAAGGAAATAAAGTGAACATAAAAAAAATCAAAAGTCCAACCGCGAAAATCAAATATATGCCCTTAAAGCTATTTGAACTTAAAAAAAACTAACAATTGGTGCTTTTTTTGAAGAAATTAACCTAAATTGAAAAAACTGGATGAATAGGAAAATATGTTATTCCGCTCGAAACCTTAAAATTAAATTCACTTTCGAAACTAGAAGTCGTTCACTTTTTTTCGACATTCAAATTTGGAGAGTGCTATTTAGGTAAATTTCAGCAGATGGAGTTCAATCGAACTTAAAAAGCATATATTCCTAAGTGCTTTTAGAAATGCATTAAAATGTATCAATGCACATCTGTACTTATCAGAGCATTTTGGAACTTTTCCTGAAAAAAAATCACCAAGAACTTTATGAGAGTCTCCACTACGCCCATGACTCTTGAAAACGCTCGCGAAAATTTTAAGATACCTAATGGAAAAAAATGTATGATACTCACCGCGAAAAAACTTTGAAGCGGAAGACCGAATAAAAACCAAACAAAAAATGACAACAGTCCCTAAAATATAGCCAACAGACAGTTGGAAAAGTTTAAAAGAAAAAGGAAACCGAATAAAAATAAAATGATTGAAAATTTTTGAACAATTTTCATCTTTTCAAAAAATATATTTCAATCTGAAAATTATGATAGTCAGATACTGTTTATAATTGGCACTTATTTCGTTATTTTTCTGAAAGTAGAAGTCATTCATATTTTTCGTGAGCTTTTCACTTTTAATTTTCGATACAGGAGTTAGTCTTCCTTTTGAAAAAAGAAATGAAGTTCTTGAAATCTTAATTCAAACCGCAAAAAATCAAACTTGAGCGTGAAATAATTTCAAGAAAATTTCCTGAAAAAGCAATAAATTTACACGGCCTACATTGCGTCTTCACTACGCTCACTGACTTTTGATATGGCCTTTAAAACTTTTTCATGAAAAAAAATCATCTAGGTCCAAATAAACAAAAACCACTTCGTTCTTTTATTCATGAAAAAAATTTCAACAGGAGAAAATAGAAATAGCCAAAAACTTATAAAATAATGCAGATAAACGCTTAAAAACCAGCCACCAACAAAAGCCACGCAATTTTGGCCGAAAACGATCAACCGGAAAAAAATCATGAATTTTGTTCGAATAAGTTCAAATTGAAACCAGAGACGAACCGGAGCTTCGCACTACTTGCGTTACAACACAAATATAAAAAAACATGAAAAATACGAAGAAAATGAAAAACGTTTTAAAAACCGAAAAAAAAAGAAAAATGTTTTTTTTTTTTAAAAAATGAAACTTTCTTGTCTCGATGAAAGATAACTAGGGGCCCAGCTAAAATTGGAGGTAGCTGCTTGATATTTTTTGAATGTTTTATATTGATGCGGGATGAAATGGGTTATTTCAAAAATTGGGTTCGGCAAAAACCTTGATTGTTGCTCTACTAAAATAAGTGAGAAAGAAAATTTTTGAGAAATTGACATCATCCCAAAACGATAAAATATATCTTGCAAAAAATAAGGAGTCGCCGCTTTTATAGGAAAAAAAATCGGAACCATTTCTTTCCAAAGAACCCTTCATCTCATATTTGATTGATTAGTTTCTAAGAAAAGTCAAAAGGTTTCTAAAAAACAACCAAAAGTCCATAACTTTCCGAAATCCATAAACTTGTTTGCAGTGGAAAGGGCGGACTTTCCATTGGCATACTTTACAGAAAATTGGTAGCGTTGCTTGAGAAACATTAACCTTTTTGCAAACAATTTTTAAGATTCTCGAAAGCGCCTCAAAAAAAATTAAATAAAAACCCAATTCCATGATTTTATTTTTTTTAAAAATAAAACAACTTAAAGCTCCCCTGAAACTACAATGATAAACAATTGCAACTACCATTATAGTTGCTTATAGCACAAGGAAAATCCGTGAAGTCGCAACTAGGCCGACAAAACTTGAGCAGACAAACGAAAGTCGAACAAATCATTTTTTACAAGAAAAAGTTCAATTTCATACATACTGAAAAAATCAAGGTCCTGCGGGACTCTAACTACAGACTGCAAAAGCAACCACGTTAGCCGCCGGCCACGTGGGAGGGCACCTGGACGTTGTAACGGTTCAATAAGAAAGTAAGGTCAATTTCTTGTAAGAAAAGTTGTTTACGGGAAAAAGTCCAGTTCCCGATTACAAGACACTCACTCTCGTAAGTGTAAATAAAGTGTAACGAAAAATTAATCTAGAAAAAAAGAGAGTTCGTGATGCGGAATATAAGCCGACAAAAATAAATAGACAGAAAAAAGTATGAAAAAAAGAAAAAATTTCGAGTTCAAAAAAAGAGGTCCCGGCCCAGATTAAAACCCCGGAAGCCGACGAAATCTATGAAGCCGACGAAAAAATCAATTTAATTCTGAAAAAGTTCCCAGTAACAAACATTGCACCCAGGAGTTAAATTTCAGTTTTCATGAAATTGAAGAGCATGTCAGCAGCATATCCGCGATTGATTCAACTGATTTTGTTAAACTGTTGGTTAACACGAAAAAAGTCTACATTCCGATTTGATAACGCTTGCTAATCGAAAGCGGAAATATATTTAGCGAATAATCAGTAACCGACACACTTGTAAATTCAGTTTTGCTGGATATAGTTGTTGTCAATTGAAAATAACTGAAATTCAGTTTAAAAAAATTAAGCCGTCAGCCACGAAGCCAAAAAATTGGAGCATAAACGTTAGCTATAAAAACATACAGGGCGGCGCAACTTGGTTTAAAATGTAAGAAAAGGCCTATTGTCAAAAATATCAGGAAAAAAGCTGACGATTTCATAAGCGAACAGTCTGATGAGTTTACGCAAAACATGGTCAACAGGCGGCTGGAAAAGTGTTTATGAAACCAGCCGGTGAAAACAAAACGTCGTGAATATTTATGAAGCCCTTTAAAGGGTTTTGAGCCTTCGGTTTTCGAGAATCTTTTATGATTGACACTTATTTGAAAAAATGACGAAAAATTTAACGGGGGAAAATTCAGTGCCCAGTAGCTATACCCTTGCTTATTGGAAAGGTCAAAACTGAATCCGTATGTAATTTTGCATTCGACTGGCAAATGTAAGAATGAAATCGACTTTTGAAACTAGATTGATTGAATAGATAGATGAAATTCATTGGCACATTTGAAACGCTTATCTTGCTGTTCCTTCAGCAAATGAGTTTTCAGTGTTACTGAAACGCTTGACTTGCTTTTCATTCAGCAAATTGGAGTTTGGATTGAACTTGAAAAAAAATCAAAAGCCAAACCGCGAAAAATCGAAAGTGAACAGTTTTTCCCTGAAAAACGCAAAAATCACACATCGAAAGCCAAGTACCCAGTTGGTTCGAAGGAGAAACTTGGAAAAGTGTGAGTGATCTCCCAGAAACCGCAAAAAATCATTGACTTTTCGAACGTTTTTCTATATTTTCGAAGATAAAATACATCACATTAATGTTCTTTCACTTTCAAGAGTCACATGACTAAACCACGACTTAGCTAACGCGTATTGGTTTTAATTACTTCCACTCTTTACTTTATTCTTAGATATCAGGCAGCAAAGAATGAGCTTAAGTAAATCGGAGCCAGCTATATCTGCTCTAATATTTTCATTTCTCAGATAAACACCTTAGTTATGCGCAAAAAAAAATCTTAAATTGAAGCTTTGGTGCTGGTCGAGCTTTGTCGTAGTCGAGCGATAACTCACGAAGGAAGGCAAGCTCAGGATCCTAACTAGAAATCAAGACAAGAGATAAAACACCAACTAGCCCCATCAAGCACAAGTATTACAATTATGATAGTTGGTCTTTGAATTACACAAAGGATCTTCGGAAAAATGTTAAAATCATAAAAATAAACGATTCAAAATAGTAAGAGCATTGTTTTTTTTTCTATTTATTGGCTGCATCAAGATAACTGAGGTAACCCTATTCCAATTTTTGAGTCAATTTCGCTTCTTCAAAAACACAACTATCATTTCTATACAGAGTACCGTACTTACAGATTACTCAGCAAACTGAATAAAGTAAAGTACTGGAATAAATTGAAGCATCGGTTTCTTTTTTTGCGACCTAGAGTGAAATGAACGATAATATTTTGAATATGAACATGCTTACACATGGATTAAATCTTCCGCGCAGAAGAGGATAAATTACGGATACTAATTGAACAAGTTTTAAGTAATTCAGCTTCAAGAAGCGTCGTTTTGAACTAAATACGAATTCATAAAAACTAACCTCTTTTGTAAATGGTGCCTCGACTTTCAGCAACTCAGCACTGACAACAGTTGGATTCACTGCTGTTGACAGCACACGCCCTTTTTTCACCCACTGAAAAAAGCAGGCATCAAGTGAAAAATTGAAATAATTGATTTCACTGATTTATTCAACCTTTCGTAGATTTTGTTGAATTTTTTTTTCGTAGGTATGGGTTTGATGTCAGATAATCATGACTAGGACTATTATGATTTGCGATCTAACGTGAAAGTCGAAATAAAGCTCATGGTATCAAATCAAGCAAGGGGCTAAATACCTTCACTACGTCACCTAGAAGTATTTCAACGTGTAAAAACGATGTCACCTGTTTTAACAAGGGATGTGCAATGCATTGAAAAAACGAATTCATTGAATGATTGATTTTAGAGAATTGAAATTGAATTGAATAGCAATTAGGCTTAGCGGTATTCAAAATTTAATTTGGGCGTTGAAAGTAAACGTGTTTCCTTGAAACTTGGATAAGGCCACTAAAAACCTGCTAGCATAAAGTTATCTGCGTGACTTGGAATCGTAGGGCCAATGGGTGAGTTATCGTGACCAGAGCACGACAAAATTTGTAATTTTGTCGCCCATGAATGTCAGGATGCCTCTTTTCTTCGAAAAAGCTCATAAAACTCAAAGTTTTGATGTTTTAAAAAAATTGGTGACGTCTTATCTCTTAATAAAGGAATTGAAACGTAAAATCCTGTGGTTAATTATGACGGGGGGGGGGGGGTGCTTGCTCACTTGGAGTGATTCAGGCATCATGCCATGACAAGAAAAAACGTTGGAATGTAACAGACTTCTATTTGCTTTGGTACCTTGAAATCATCAGCTGGAAACGTCAGGAGATCTTTTTCAATGGGGTCTCTGAGGAGAGCGATCTGCTTCTGCGCATTTTCCTCGTAGTTTCCCACCTCCAGCAGAGAAACATCCGGCAGAACCTACAATAGTCAACGCGAAGATGAACACAAAGGTGAGCCTAGCAGATGAAATCTTCAATTAGTGTGGCCTAAAATTCCCCCTAACAAATCATAAGTGTATTTCACGACAATATCTTGATCTTTGGTTGTCAACATGTCAATAAATTGTAAATAATCAGATTTATCGCCAGCAAAATAACAGTCAATCAAAACCGAATCTTGATTTTTTTCTAACTAATTATGGCCAACAGGCAATTGAAAGAGAGTCAATGAACGCAAAGAAACGTAACAAAAATAATTATTACTTGCTTTTTGAAAAAATTTCAATTTTTGAGCTTTTGTTTCTTAGAATTTCATAAGTAGAAGTTTTTTTTCCGAAAACTAAATAATTAAACTTTTTTCCGTTTCCTGGCGTTCATTGACTCTTTTCCAATTGCCTGTTGGCCGTAAAGTTAGAAATTGCCAGCTGGAAATTCTGACACTTTCCTGATGAAATCAACCCAATTTGAGGAATCTGGACCAATATGTTTTTTATTTCTCTCTCGGAACTAGCTGGAAGTAGATCGTTTTTCGTGCCATTTAAACTTGTTTGATAGTGGAGTTTGCCTTCTTTTTAACAGAGGAACTGAACTAAAATTTAAAAAAGTCAAACCGCAAAAAAATCAATTTTGAAGACTTTTTCCTAATTAAAAACAAACAAAAAATCATCTATATAACAGTCTTCGCTATGCTTATTGACTCTTAATTTACATCACCTGGTTTTTGGTTTCCTGGATTGATACATTGGCTGAAACTCTCAGTTCTGCTGCCTTCTGTGCTTTCCGCGATTTCACAAACTTCCTTTCCATTGAGTTCAAAATCAATTGATTACTGAAATCCAGATAAATGTGATTTTGGTTAATTAAAGATTGAACATTAGTTAACTGTCACTGGCTTCCTTCAATGATTAGGTCACGTGATTTTAGCAGCCATACGTGTCACTTCTCTTCTTCATTCGTACCAACAGTTTGTATTACCATTAGCGCTGGTTTGCACGTAAGATTAAACATACAAACTGCATGGCTGCATCTGAAAATGTTTAAACGATTGCAGGTGTAATTCAAGTGGATAATGCAATATTTGATCAACAAAACAGTTCTGTATGAATTGAAGTCTTGGTTAACTTGTGAGTTCAATTATGGTTAGATTTTCCGGATCGTTCTCAATATTTGCGATTCTTGCTGCATTCACCGGCCATTGGGTTTTATCTAGCTATTATAAATATTAACGCTCTAAAACGAGTGGCCCAACGGGTGATCGAATTTAAAATCTGAACCTAAATTTTTTTTTATCTTTTCTTAAGATTTCAAACAATACTAATTCAGATGGTTAGCGATGAGCTGTAGATTGTCAACGTATCCCCTGATTTGTCTTAAGGAATATAAAGTAATCAGTTACGCGCAGTATTCAGATTGTAGGTGTAAGTATTTCAGAGCTCGAATGTCGCCATTACGGACGAATTAACATGGGTTCGATAAAACACTCGTGGCCAAAAAGACCTAGTCCAATTAAATTTTGTAGACGCAGACATTCTGAAGAAGTTTGCTGAGAAAATCTGTTCAATGATTTAAGAAAAGCCTTTCGAAAGAACACTTGAAAAAAAAAACGATTTTGAAATTTTGTTCGAAATTTTTTGTTTTCTTGTAAAGGGCGACTCACTTGTTGAAAAAACTGCTGCAATGAGAATTAATAATTGCTGAAGTTACTATTGAATAGTAAAAACACAAGCAAACTTGATAACAACTTAACCGCTACACCACATAGCTATCACTAACTATCACGAACGCTTTGCTAATAAATACAAGTCAGTAAATATACGCTTAAATCACTCTGGTATAGTTTTCTGTTCGAACAACAAAGAAACAAGTATGCGCAAAAAGTTTGTATTGCTATGTGCGACTTGGGTTTGAAAAACTGACAAAAACAAACCATAGGAAAACATAAATTCTATAAAACAAGGAGAAACAGAAAGCTTCAAGTGTTATAAAATTAATCACGAATAATAGACGAGACAAATTCGGGAACTGTCGAATAAAATAGATGTATCGAAATTTAATTAGTTTTGAAAAAAAATAACAAGCGGTGAAAAGAAAACTTACCACGCAAAAAGAAAGCCGTAAGTACCAGAGCAGAAACCATTTTAAAAAGTGATTAAAAATTTGTTCGAGTCCCCCTCCATCAAAACACTCACATGCACACGAACAATTTCTTAGGTCATCAAGCGACGCAATATAAGGCCGCTAAGTCGATAAAATATACGTGGGAATCATTTGGGCAGAAAACATTTTTAAAGCGAAAAAAAGCAAAACAAAAAAATACGAAGTCAAGGTAAGTAAAATTACCACCAGCAGATTAAATCAAAACACTTAAGGCAACTACAATGTAAATTGCGTATATCGAAAAAAAATAAACGATGTGGCAACTAAGCCGACAGAACTCAAAATCCTTTTATGGTGGACACTTTTTCAACAACTAAGCCAGTAGGAAAAACTGGGTCAATTGGAGAGCACAATTGACTTTATTTTATCAAGAAACTTGAATTCAGCTTAATACACAGAAGCAAAGCAGAACTTCGCAACACTTGCGATACAAAGCAAGCATAGCATCGCAAGCTTGCGACTAAAAATGAGACGGTAATCACTAGTCAATAAACTTTTTTTGAAAAATCGAAGTCCTGAAAAACAGCCTCGAATGTAAAATTTTAGCAATATTTACCGAGCGTTCACTACGCCGACAAAAAATAGGTACACGCCCACTTAGCCGACAACAAAAATTACCATTAAAGTTGTTCTAAAAAAAATTCGAACAAATGAAATAAAAAAAATAAAAATTTTACACCACAATATTGTTTTTTTTTTCAATGATAAACAATTTCCGGTCAAACCACATAAGATAAGTTGATAAAACAAATAAAGCATCATAAGCTGAAATCATTATAATAAAAAAACACTTGTTTAATATCACAGTTGTTAAATTAAGAAATAATAATTGGGACGACTACCAATCATAAAGAAAAAAATATTTCAGCAGACCTAGAAAAATATAATTCCATTTTTCCCGGAAAAATTTAATTTTATATATGCTGAAAAAAACACGATCTGAGTGAGACTCAAACACCTAATCTTAAGGTGCAAAGGCTACAGCGTTCCCCCTAGGCCAAGTGGGAACGAACCTGGAAGATGTTAAGAGAAGATACATAAATAAAGAAAAGTTGTTCAACGGTAAAAAGTCTTCTTCCCGATTACAAGACACTTACTCTCGCAAATGTTATCACAATTCAAGCCATACAGAATGGCAAGTAGCACAGCAGTTCTGGAAACTTTTACCTGTTACCTCACTTGTCTCTAACAAATATTTAATGGTAAAAACATTCTAGCCACATCAGAACATTCTAGCCTTCTAGCCCTCAAAACACACACACGCGAAAAAAAATTTCTTGCTCGTCGAACGAGGCAACATATGGCCACTAAGCCGATGTAATATAGAAACCCATAGGCTGAAAAAAAAGACAGAAAAAAAAATCAAAAAAATTTGAGACTTACAAAAAGTTATTAAGTTAACGTTACGACTAAGCGACATCCAAGTTCTTAAGATTCAATAAATAAAGATAATTAGCTTTGTTACAGAATTGTATGAAAGTTCTTTACGGGAAAAAAGGCTAATTACCGATGACAAGACACTTGCTCTCGTATGTAAAAAATAATAAAAATAGAAAAGGAAAACCAAATTGGAGCGCAATCAATAAGCAGACGGTTATTTCAATTGAAATAAACTACATATTCTAGGCAAGAATAGCCGGTTAATGTGCAAGTAACAGAATGTTCCGACCACAGTCTTAAAAAACGCAAAAATGTTTTCTCAAATTGATGTCGTTTTTTCTGCATGTTGTGATAAAAAAAAATCTGAACAAAAATTGGAACATGAGCATATTTGAGAGTCATAGTAAAATGGGTCAATTGGAAAACAGTTTTTAAAAAATGAAAGGAAAACGAAAAAAAAAATTCTTTTTTTTCTCAAATATTTTTGATTCCCAAGCTAAAAACTCCAAAAACTAGTTTAACTTGCTCAAAAACAAGTTTTAAGGTCTTAAATTAGGCATAATTCAGCTGTTTTAAGCCTTCTCGCCTGCTTTATTTGCTCGAATAAAGATGAAAAATCAAATTTCAATATCTTTTGGGACATTTTTTTGCATTTTCAAGTTTTTGATTCCCAATATTGCTTTAAAAAACTCTAAAAACTACCCTTACTTGAGAAAAACTAACGGCTTAATTTAAGCTTAAAAAAGCTATTGCAATTACTAACTACTTAACTATTTAGCTCGAAATTAGACCAAAAATCAAGATTTTTAAACAGTTTTTCTGGTCACTGATAAACATTTTTCAAACTTTTTTTTATTTCGTTCAAAACTGAAAGGGCTTTAAAATGATATATCGCTCAACCCAGTCCAATCTGTGGTACCTCATTTTGCGTGGAAAAAAGCAAAAAAAAAACAAACACTACCGAATACAAAGTTCCCCCCCATTTTCAATGGTCGAAACAAAAAACACATGATCTAATTAAGGGTCTTCATTAACACTTAATCAAGCTCAGCAAAACAAATCGACTCATTTTGAAGCTATATTCAAAGCTATTAAACGTCGGTTACAGTAAGAATAGCACTTTAAGTCCAACACAGCAATCTTTGGGCAAAACATCGTGAAAGAAAAAAAATAGTTGACTGTTGTGTACGCGGCAAAAAAATTTCCAATCAATTATTTGCAAAAAAAAATGCTAAAAAAATCAAATACTTTCATGAGTCGGCGGAAGAAGAGGAGAGTTGTTAACTTTCCTTGCTTGCATCAAATGTAAAAATGAAGTCTGAAAAGTAAAAAATTTAGACCGTTTTTCTCGAAAAGATTTAAATACCGATTGAATCATGACTGTAATTGCTCCAATATGAATTATGACTTCAATTAATGACAAGATCTGATTTTCTTGGGAATGTGAAAAAAAATGATCGTAAGATTCAAATTTCAAGTAGTCAAGTAGTGATTGCTTATTATGTTGCAGCACTCTTAAGTAGTTTGAATAACGGACACATTCGAGGCCACTTGTAGTCGACACTGATGAAAAGTTTTCGGAATAGGTGCTCCATAATATCGTCCTATTGCCACTCTGCCAGTGCGCCTTTAAATTAACTTCTTGTTTGATCGAGGTTTCATTTAAGGCTTCACACAATAATAGCCACTGATGCGTCCAAAATACGTTCTGTGATTAGAGGCTGAAACTTTTCGTACCATTATATGTCCCAAATTTAAATTTAAAAAAACATATATTTTACCTATCATCATTTTTCTTAAATTATTGGGGGTTTAAAGGTTGCCAGTTAGGCCAATTAACGCGCGATATGTTTCGTGCATTACGTCGTCAGCTGAGATTTAATCCATCTTAAAGATGGTATAAAATTGGATTGAGGCATGCTTTTTGGTCTATTTAATATGGCTATATGCGAAATATATCACGTTGTCCTTTACATAGCATGTGGGACATGATTTCAACTTTTCTCAATTTTTTTTTGGACTCTTTAGACATTAAAATGGAGTCGAAACATTCACGGCTTTGCCCTGATACGAGCAGTTTTGTGTTCATTAACAAACAATTTAAAATCCTTCCATAGACTAGAAGAGAGAAGCATTTCGTGCAGTTGGATATTTACTCAAAAAGTCGACCTAAAAAATCCAACGATCTAAAAAACAAATCCATAGTTGCAATCGAAAGCAACAAATACTCTTCGTCACTTTCGATACAAAAAAAACACTAAGCATTTAGTAATTAACAAAAACGGCAAAGAGGAGCACAAAAAAATCAACCAGACGAAAACAAGCCAAAGAATTATGAGAAAACAGATCTAAGGTTTTTATAGCATGCAAATTTTACCTGTCACTTTTGTTTAATTTTAGCATTTCAAAAACTCTTAGAAATCTCAAATTAACGTCTTAAGTAATCAGTTTCATAAAAAAATAATTTGATCGGGTCAATTCAGCTTTATTATGATTATCGTTTCATTTGATTCTCATCTAATTTCTCTATCCGTATAATAATATTTTAACAGAACGAGGAGTTAGCTTAGTGAAGAATAGCTGGTTGCTGTGCAAGTAGCACATATGCTTCGATCACAATGATTTAAAGCACAAAAATCAAAAACAGAGAAAGTTTTAAAGATTAATTCTAATTATTTTTGATGATTTTATCAGAGGGTGTTTACGTTAGACAAGAAACTGCAGAATGAGCGCCAATTATGCTTTAAAATTGCATTGGAATAGAATTGAGCGCTATCAAAATTGAATCATGTCACCAATTTTTGTAAAGTTTGTTATGAAAATCGAGAAGTTATTACACCCGTTTTTTTCGTCACAGATGTTGTTTCTGATTTTTTTTTGAAAATTCTGAATTACGATCAAAAGGGTTTTATAATGATACCAAACTTATACACCCGGGCGCTTTCACTGATATAGTCCAAATTGGCTGGAAATTTTGCTCCCAACCCCTTCATTCTAGCAAATGAAATTGAAGTGAAAAAGAAATTGAAGTGAAAAAGAAATTGAAGTGAAAAAGAAATCGCGGAAATTCAAAGAACGAAAAATCAAATTCTAGCTTGATCTTTTTTCCTGAAAACCAAACAACCTAAATAAATGTCTTCGCTTCGTTTATTGACTTTTCAAAATGACACTTAATTTTAGCTTGTCCTTTCGTTATTAGAGAGCACAAATTCCCTCTCGGAAAATCTTACAACTAAAATCCATTTTTTATCACAGCTTTGCACTACTTGCGATGCAACACAAACAAAAAAAATCGAAAAAAAAATTAAACGTTGAAAAAAAACTAGATGAACCAAAACTTTCGTTTGTCTAGCTGAAAAATAACTAGGTACCCAGCTAAAGCTGGAGCTATGTGTTTGATATTGAATGAATTTACTTATCTGATGAGGCACGAAAAATTTGATTTCAAATACTCCCCACAGATTTTTCGAAGGCTGTAGACAGAGGGGTCAAGTAAAAAGAGAGTCAAGGGGAGTATTCAGACACACAATGGAGTAGAATGTCTTTCAATTGATAACCCTTTTTGAAAATGAGCTGAAGATAGCCTCTCAAATATGAGTTACCCCTCTCAAAAAAGCTCCCTGCATGAGCAGCTATGCCCAAAATTTTTATACACATAAAATTAAGGCCCTCGGAATGGTCAAACTTTTGATAGTTTTTGAAATTTTTTAAATACTCTCGCCAACTACCCTGCCATATTTGATATTTTGGGTTAAATTCAAAGAACGGTTTGTGGGAAACTCATTTTCTTAAGCGGCTACTCTCAAAATTTTCGGAAACCAAAAATTATGGTCCTCGGAAAAGTCAAATTTTTGATTTTTTTGTTTGTTTTATTGACATTTTTTGAGAACTACCGTCACAAATCTGAGATTTTGGGTTCAATCAAAATTACAGCAGAGTGAAACCCTGCTGCATAATTTAAAATTGAAATTTTAGAAACTGAAAGAAAACAAACAGCTTTTTTAAATATAGAGCCACAGCAATTTATTACATCACGCCGAGCATGAGCTAAGAGTTAGCTAACTTTTACAAATAGAAAGCCGGTTATATGACCCAAATTACTGTTCATTTAACCTTCTTGTAATTTAAAAAGAAGGTTGTTCTAAATTTTATTTAAGAATTTTATAAACGAAAATTACCTCAAGAATGTTTCAAGACTTTTAACAAAAAACAGTAGCAAACAAAAACTTTTTTGCGCATCAAACGGCGCAAAAAGAAGCTACTAAGCCGACATAAAACAACCGAAATTTATGAAGCCACAAATTTAGAAGAAATGAGAAATTAAATTTTTTTAAACCGAATTAAAAAATACGACAATGAAACGAACCAAAATCAGGCCACTAAGCCGATAAAAAAATAGGCCGGAATAATTTTGACCGAGGAATTATTTTTAAGCGAAACAAAAAAAACTAACAAACACGAACAAGGAAAAAAATTAAAAACTAGGAGTAAACACAACACTAAAAGCAACATTATAGAAAAATGCGCGCAGCAACATTGCTTGTTTAATCAAGGGCGTTTATGAGAGGGTGGAATCAAAAAAGAAATCAAGTCAAACAGCGAAAAATCACAATTGAGCGTGAAAAAATTTTAAGATTTTCCTGAAAAAAACGTAAGTTTTTTGTGGGCTGTTTTTTTTTCAAAAACTTGCATGCGGTGCAGCATTTTAATCCAATGCAGAATAAGGTCCTTATCGCGCTTTCAGAGCTCGGAAAATCAATTTCGTCGCTATCTAAAAATTTTCGACAAAATTTTTTGGAAAATCCGCCTGTGCCTTTCTCCAACAACCCATGTTAAAAGCCATTTAACACTGACGTATGATAAAGTCCACCATCGAAAAATTCTAGACATGCAACATGTGATTCTATTTTTTACTCACCTGAGAACAGAATTTCCTTTTTTAAAAGTCTCGTCAAATTAAGCAATATTCACCATGCACACATGCAGCTTTCCGTTAGTAAAATAATGACGTTTTTATCAAGAACTTAAATTATATCCATGATTGATTGATCCGAAATAACAAGCGAAAGTAAATTTTTATCTAAAGGCAAAAGTGTATAGAGACAGTAAAGTGAACAATAATAAATTTATAAAGCAATAACTCTACCCGCGAATACTCAATATTCTCCAAGTTTTCATCTTTTTGTAATTTATGTACAAAACAATAGCAATTTCTTCTCGTACAGGTCGAATTCCAATCGAATTTGATGACAACAAATGGGTAAATTCTAGTGTTCTGGACTTAACTTCAAACATTCTAGAGGGTCTACGACTTGACAATAGTTGGCTGGAAATAGACCATCTTTTCCATTAAGAGTACCCTTCAGCCATCCTGGTTCATCAGTAAGAACGACTGCAAACACACAACTGGGTTAATTAATTCACTAACTTGGCACCAATTTGAGGTCAAAATAGACGTTTGATGTTTGAAGAGAAATGGAAATGAAGTTACCGTTAACTATGATTTGGTTCGCATTGAATGACAATTCTTCTCGATTTGGGTCGCCAGTACAATCATACAGAGTTCGCACGCAGCTGAAAGACAGTTTGAGTTTAGCATGAGTTCAGATAGTCTTAGCTGCTGGCTGCTTTAGTAGGTTATGATAATGTTTTAAAGTTTCCCATAAGTCTTCTGTTAAGTAAAAATGATATATGAATTTGAAAATCCCCTTTATGGCACCAATTTTATGCACAAAAAGCCTACTGTAAAAGAAAACCCAATAGAAATACACATTCAAAATTATAACCTCATATGTGAACTGATTCTTCATTTGATCTCGATCAAGATCTCAATTGATCTCTTTGGCCAAAAATATCCTTTTTCGAAGCATGCCATACAATTGCCCACTTTATTTGGCTATGATATCTTTTGTCATGATAATCTATTTCTTATGCTATAAATCGCAATCCAAAACTGGCTTACGTATTTTTGGGTCCGAACGGATTCATTTTGTGTATATCTCCACCGTCGTGCCTGAAAATCATTAAATTAGTCAAAAAATCTTAGACATGTATTTTATTTTCTACCATGTTTCATCATTGCTAGCTAAATACTTTACCATTAATTAATTGCTTAACCTGGAATGAATTCAAGAACTTAAGCTAAGCTATATTTGAATAAAAATAGCAATATATGATTAAACAGGAACAGATCCAAATAAGCGATAGAGAGATTAAAATGACGGTCAGACAGCGATCAACTTCAAGGACAGATTTAAATTTTTGAACCAATCTTAATGTTAGTTCTGAGACTCATTTCACAGTCTTGTTACCGATTTCTGTACATATCGTTAAGCATAGCTCCCGTAAAGATAGCTCCTTTCGCATCTGAAAGCACGCTGTCGTAGCTGCCGCTACTTCCCGCTCCGCTACTGTTCGTGCGACTGTACATCGGCATCTTATGATCGCTTTCTGTATTGAGTTACATATTTGAGCTTCTACTTTAAACAAAAGATATTTTTGCATAATATGGACACTTTCAAAAATTGGGAGACCACAATTTAATGTTTCCTTTAATGCTTGATGGTGAGGCAAAATGCCACAGCTCGGAAAAACAACCAAAAACGTGCATATACTTCTTCATCGGGGAACAACAGCGGTTCTCCGTAACCAACTTGTAACAGCTCTCGTATGTTGGTCCTTTCCTTCGTAAATAAACGTAAAATCTTTCTCAACCAAAAAACAGTCTCCCAAAATTCCATTTAGCTTTTACGAGTAGGAGCTTAAATTTGCTATCAATTTTTCAACCTCTTTCTTCCAATTGCTCCTCGGATCCAAAATGAACGTGCGAGTTAGTTCTCAAGTAGCCTTTTTTCTTCTTCAAACAAGGACTGTTCTTAACTGAAGATGGTAGACTTCCGGTTTCTAATCTGTTAATACTTTCATTGGCCAATTCTGAAATGACCTCTTTCTTGCTTTTATTTGACCTCTTCAGGGGTAACAGTGGGGTCAAACTTTTCGGTCTTAGTCTGTTAACTTCTTTGGGCTGGGGCGAAATGTCAACTTTTTTCACAGATGAGTTAAAGTTGATCACGTCGTCAAAAAATATTTCCGAATCGCCATGATCTTTCATTACATTTTTCTCATTTTTCGACTTCTGTTTATTTTCTTCAATATTAAGAGGTGCCATGCTCTTAGATTTGCGACTGAACCCGCGAGGTAGCGAGACACCGATGCGAAGAAGTGGCGCTTTGTATGAAAAGCCACCGCTTGGGCGTCGCTCACGAGGCTTGACGTTGATGACTTCCTCCCCTCGAGACAACGAGGAGCTGCGAGCACTGTAGACATACATATATTCCACGCATCAACATTTTCATCAACTTGGTGGCTTTCTTCAAATTTCGGAAAAATTAAAAACGGAACAAATAGGAATGAAATGAATTGGCTAGAACGATAGTGAAATGTTAAAAAGTCTCAGATACCAACCCATGCAAATCAGTTATCGTTTTCAAAATTACATGCAATTATAAACTCTTACATGTGAAAGATCAGAATCTAAATTATAAGCAAGAGGAAAGATAAAATAAGCTCAAAACAAAGCAAGCACGATGAGATTGATTGGGTGTGTTTATGATGGTGTTATGACTAACGGTCTATTTTGAATGGGCGAATAGGTGAAGTTGTTTGCCGATAGATGATTCTCATTGGGTGAGGAAGGCGATGTTGTCTGAATCTGATGAGCCGAGGGGGAATTTTTAATTCGAGAGCCCGATGAAGTATTCCTTCAGAACAAACACAATAACACAAACAAACAGTGACCAAACGCACATTACACTTAGTGAACTACAGGTAAACACTTAGCAAGGCAACAGTGGGTGAGACAACAAACATCATTCTGGTAGTTATATAAACCAGCCGAAGTATGAACCACCGACCATACAAAACTTCAGAAAAATGATCAGTTAACTTCGGTCAGTTCAAATACTCAGCCAATTTTTAGTTCAATTATACTTCGGCTGGTTTATTCGCAATCATCATTTTAGGCTCAAAAAAGGAAAAATGTCAAAATATAACATATAATCAGCCATCAGAAACAAGAAATTTTTCTATGGAAGAAAGTAAATCGAACAATGTATTACGCTCATTTTCATTCCAGATGTTCCACACAAAAAAAAACAATTAAGCGTTGGAAATCATTCTTTTTTTTTTACCTTATTGTAGGATTGCTGAAAATGCTATAGCGTCTCATTTAGAGACCAATGTGTTTTGAAAGGGTTCAAAAACGAGTGTGCTAAATTAGTGCTTTCTACTATATCTAAACGGGTTCGTAAATTGGAACAGTAGTGCACATTCCATGACAGGAGCATTTCCCGAATCACTTACCGTTTATACTTTGGTACAAGTATGATAGCTGGGCCTCAATGAATAGTAAAAACGTAAGATAGATCACGCCACTTTATAATTGAACAACACAAGCTAGCACATTTTGTTTTGTTTCTGAACCAATTTTTTCACAAAAACTTCTGGAAGGGATCCGTCACTATTAATGTTGGGAACTAATAAACGGATCCGTCACTACAGGACCCAGCAAGCATACTTGTACTAACATTCTTTTAAGATTCGCACTAGAACAACTCATGCATCAAACTGGTTCTACTTACAATGAACTCGGTCTCGGTGCACTTTTGTGGCTCTTCAAGCTACTTCTGCTCGCTGCACTGCGATTGAACAGTCCTGCTCTTCCAATCGTGAATGTGGAATATTCTTCCGCAGCACCGTCCACTAGAGACTCCGCACTTGCACTTCTCGGGTTTGCATCTTTGATTGCTCCTCCTCGTGATTCAGTGGCGGTTGCTGGAAGAACTGACCGGGATACTCTAGCTGATGGTTGTTTAGTTGCTGACCCAAAAGGTTCCGGGGTTGTTTCAAAGATCTGAAATCATATCTCAGATTTTTTTTCACAATCGCTGAATCAAGTGACGAGAAGTTTTGACGAATAAAACTATCAAAAATCTAGACGGAGTCAGTAAAATCTTCCACAATATGACATAAAGTATGAAGCTACACCATTCACAGCCCATTCGATGCTATGTGCTTAACTAGGAATAACAGAGATGAATATATTGGTCGAGTAAAAATGGTGAAGCCTGTTGAATAAACAATATTCTGAGCCGTATTTTAATATCTCATCAAAAATGAAAATGAAGCTTACTAAATTATATTTTTTACACAGGTAGGGGTGGTTCGAAAAAGTTGTCTAACTTTTTCTAGACCAGCCATTTCAAATTTTCGAGCTTGATAAACCATAGAACAGTCAAACTTGGCATTACTTTCTGCCCCGCAGGCGGTTGTGTTGAGTTTTTGAACATTTTATGAAACTTGAAACGTTTTTGAGCAAATCACGAAGAGTTTGATTTTGTTCTGGACTTCCTCCATCTCAACATTAAAACATAGCCAACAGACAGTTGGAAAAGAGTCAATGAACGCAAGTAAACAGAAAAAAAAACTTTCAAATTTCAAAGAAAAAAATAGATGCCCTGAAAGTTCTTTGACTTTATGATTGGCCCTTTTCTGATGAAACTAACCCAATATGAGAAAACTGGATCAATATTTAAAATTTATATTTCGCTGGGAAATCTGAAAATTGAATTCCACTTCCGAAACTAGAAGTCGATACGTTTTTCGTGACCTTTACATTTTTGCTATTCAAAGAAAATGAACTGAACTAAGAAAGAAATCAACAGCCAAACCGCGAAAAAGTAAATTTGAGTCTGAACAAAAACAGAAAATCATCGCGACCTATATAATAAGAGTCTGAACTAAGTTCATCGACTCATAAAAAACATTGACTGAATTTTAAGAGTTGGTCGACCAGAAAATAGGGCCAAATAAAGAAGGGACCCTTTGGTAAGATTTGAGAGCCCAGAATTGAGGGGTGCCCTATCGGCCGGCAGACTTCTGGCTTGCCTGTTGGTAGTTGTTCAGAATGAGGAGCACTATCTGATTCACGAATTTGATCTCCATCACATTCGCAATCGACTTCCCCTCCGAATGCAACAGACTCGTTCCCACACACGTAGACAAGTTGGCTGCATTCATCTTGGTCTTCTCACTGGCTGCTATGATCTTTCCGAAGTGCTGGTTCAGTTTCTTGAATGCTTGGAAGTGGTTTTTGGGCATCTGATGTATTATGGAATGCACATGGTTGATCTGTTGCTCCTTAGAGTCACAAGTCTCTGAAATAAGGTCATTAAAAACGGTTAAGAAGCTTCAATTTAATTGGATTGGAGTCTCTAAAAGATTTTCAATTAATCAGTCTTATAATGAGATAATGAGGCGAATTTTTCATACACCAACAAAAACGAACCAAAACAAAACAAATATGAAATGATATCAAAAATATGTACAAAAAAGAAAACGAAGACTCCTCTACAATCGATGGCCCGCAGTTCATCGAATTAAATCTCATGAAATGACTTTCATGGTATGTTCTGCCATAGCAACAACTCACTTGCCACATTGATCAATTTGTAATAGAGGTGATAAGGAATCAACGGCTCCTTAAGTTCAGTCAGGAACCTCTTCAAAGCACTGGTCAGAGTCTTGACTTCGACGCCATTTGGATCCTGCATGATGGATCCCACGTCTCTGTAGATGAAGAAGGCCTCCAACAACTCCGATACTCTCTTTGCACCTCCTGGTCGCCTGAAGGGTCCCTCAGTTTCAAGTCCTCCTGAAGATACGATCAAAATGATGAGTTTTGAGAATAATTTCAACAAATGATCTTCATTGACTGGCTATTCTTCTCCCTTCTCGCATTTAGCATTAACAAAGAGGTCAATAATTTTGCAAGTTACATTCTTTGCTAGTACAAGATTGGATTCAAAAAATACCTTCTTTACAAGATTGCTCTTTAAAACTACCTTCTTTTTCAATGGCGACTACAATGAAATCAATGAACTCCAGGCCCCGAGCATCCAACTCGTACATGCCCATGCTTTGGAATTTACGGTAGTCCTCGTAAATCTGGGAAAAACACTCAGATTCAAAATGCAAGCTATGAAACCATGTCATATGAATTAATTAGACAGGAACTGAATGAACATGCTAACCGGTTCCTCTCCTTCCATTACATTCAACCACTGCGCTCTATCTTCATTCGATTGTGCCTGCATCGTCAATTGCACGAGAACCCTACAAACAATTTAAAATTCCTAATCTAATCGTATAATTGTCAAAACTATTGCGCGAAACTAGACAATGTCAGCGTACTTATCAGAGTTTTCCACTGTCAAGTCGAATAGAAATTGTCTTTCGCTTTCACTAGTTGCCCTCCTGCAGCACTGCTTCACTTTGAAGAACTCGACATTGAGCTAGAACAAAAAAATTGCCAACAGACAGTTGGAAAAGAGTCAATGAACGCAAAGAAACAGAAAAGTTGTTTTGTGAAACAACTAACGCTCGAATTTAAAAAATACATGGCCTTAAATATCTTCGAATTTCAAGAGAAATTTATAATTAGCACTTTTCTGATAAAATTAACCCAATTTGAGAATTGGGATTGGTAGGAAAAGTTTTTCTTCCGCTGGGAAAACTAAAAATTAAATGCCAGTTTCGAAACTAGAAACCGATCAAGTTTTTTGCGCCATTTCAGCTTTCATAATTGGAGAGTTCATTTTGCCTACATTCTAGCAAATTAACTTGAATAGAAATCAAAAAGTGCATATATATATATATATATATATATACCTAAGGGCATTAATATATGCATTTATAGTTATGAATGCACTTCTTTTGTTATTAGTGAATTTTAAAACTTTTCCTTAAAGAAAAACTGAAAAAAAAATTATAACGAGACCTATATAATAATCTGAACTACGTTCATGGACCCTTAAAAACAATCAAATAAAGCCAACTAAAAGTTGGAAAAGAGTCAATGAACTCAAAGACACCAAAAAAATGATTTACTTTTTTAATTTTTCGCGTACATTTCATGATTAAGAATACTTTTATATTTTTTCGATACTTTGAAATATGACCTCTCATACGAATAGCTGAGACATTTCAAGAACATTTAATATTGGCACCTTTATTATAAAGCTCGTTATGTATGACCGATGCCGCGCCACTGATTCAGATGGGTAATGTGCTTTTGGTAAATGGCTATTGCACCGACCTCAAGCAAAACGCAAGGATCACTGTTGGCATCGAGCCACCAGCCTCTAGACTGAGAGACAGAAATTAATCTCTTTGCCTTTAGGTCGAGAACTCACATTTTTAGGTGGGTTAACTTGGTGATACTGAGTCATTGCTAACTGTCTCTCTTTGTTTCTATACTGACAAAAGTACTTGGAAGAGGCTAAATTGGAATGCGCAGTCGATACTAGCATCTTCTTCTTGTTCGTATCATACACCCACAGGTATCCCTGTTTGTCGTAAAGGGTTTTCTTCTGCTCTATTGCTAGTTGCGGGTCCTTTAAGATATTCGCACGGAGTGCTTTCGCTTCTTCTGCAGTTAGCTGAAGTTGCTTTTGGCTCTAAAATAGCTACGTGACTGTTATTTGTGTTGCAATGACTTCCCGGCGCAAATTAATTAACATAGCCAACTACCAACTAACATTTGGAAAAGAGTAATGAACGCAAGGAAACTGAAAAAAAACTGACTTGGTTTTTCAAGCGCCTTCAACTTTTGAATTTCGAAGAAAAAAATAGATGGACTAAAAGCTCTTTGAATTTGTAGAACAATTTATGATGGTATGTTTTATGAAATGGATGGTATGGACTTTTTGTGTTAAAATCAACCCAATTTGAGAAAACTGGATCAATAGGCAAAACTTTTATTTCGCTGTGAAACTTGTAATAAAATTCCATTTTCGAAATTAGAAGTTGATCACGTTTTTGCAACCTTTACATTTTTGCTGTTCTATAGTGGAGTTTGCCTTCCTTTTAATAATGGAAATGAATTGAACTGAAATGAAAAGTCATCACAAGTTAAGTTAAACGGCGAAAAATCAAAAGTGAGACGTGAACAAATTTAAAGACTTTTTCCTGAAAAAAAAAATCAGCAAAAACTATATAAGTCTTCACTATGTTCATTACTCTTAATAATAACCTAAGGCGTTCAAATGTGGAATGACAACTGAAGTTAACCTTACCGAGGCAATAACATCTTCTAGGAAAGGATAATAGCCCTGGAACCTCTTCACGTTTTCCAGGTAACCTGAAACGCAAAGAATCTTATTAGTGCTTGAGCATGGAAAGTTTTGGAAAATCCCAAGACAGCGAAAACGGGCATGAATAAATTTCTAAAAAGTCACAAGGATAATCCGCGCAAAAAAGTACAAACGGAAATACCGCGTCACACTTCTGAGGTCGCTTCTGCAATATACAGATGCTTAAATGTGGTTTCCCAGGAGCCTTCTTTACCAATTACATCATTAAAACACATTAGTGTATCGGTTTGGTTATCATCATCCTTGACAAATGAACATGGCTGACCCCAAATGAAGGATGCTAAGTATGTCCTTGTGAACTCGTAAATGTGCTGGATGAAGTTGAGTCTCGTCTGTTCTTCTCCTTCTAGAACATTCCAGACAACGTCAGTGGAGACACTGTGAAAAGTAGCAGTGTCCTGCATCATCGTTCGATCCATCTGAACATGAGAGCAGGGGGATTGCACGAGTCAGCAGATAACTCAGTTTCAATCGAAATGAGATAGATACAATTAGGTGTTGCTTCTTATTTCGAAAAACAATTTCTTTTCAATATTTTTTCCACAGTATTATTATTTACATGAGAGCAAGCCTCCACTGGATTGCAGAATACCGTCTTAAATTTTGATTTATGGAATCTTGTTTTTTTGGAAACCGTTTTTCATAAAAACTTACCTGAAGCACAACTTTTTTTGCCTGAATAGGGTTTTCTTTGTTTTGGGAGACGTTGTCAAATCAAAAGTTTCGACTAAAAATTCTGACCCCCATCAAAAAAGTCTTACATTCTCGCTTGCATTGTTTGATAAGCTTCAAAGAAGATAGTTTTCACTGAATTATCAGGGATGTTTCGATCATTTTCTAAGAATTGAAATTTTAGAAACTGAAAAAGAAAACAAACAGCCATTTTTTAAATAAAGAGCCACATCAAATATTTACATCACGCCGAGCAGGAGATAAAAGTTAGCTAAGTTTTACAACTAGAAAGCCGGTTGGTTATACGACCCAAATTACTGTTCGTTCAACCTTCTTGTAATTTGAAAAAAGGTTCTAAATTTTATTTAAGAACTTTATTATCTATTACGAAATTTATCTCAAGAATGTTACAAGACTTTTATCAAAAAAAACAATAGCACAAAAAAACTTTTTTGCGCATCATACGAGGCAAAAAGAGGCTACTAATCCGACATAAAACAACCGAAACTTATTAAGCCAAAAAATCTGAAAAACCAGAAGTGAAATTTCAACAAACCGAGTAGAAAAACACAACCATGTTAAATAATGCGGAAGGGAGCTTAGAAATTTTGTTTCCCTTGAACGACCCAAAATCAGGTCACTAAGCCCATAAAAAATAGGCCGGAATAATTAGGTCCGAATAATGTTTTTAAGCGAAACAAAAAAAAAGGAAATAAGATGTCAAGGTGAGTCAAATTACAAAATATTGCAGGTTTAAATCAAATATTAACAGCAACAATAAAAAAAAAATCGCACAGCAAAGAAACGTTCTCTGGATACGGCAAATAAGCCGATAAAAGTAAATCATACAAATAATTGGCCGACATTTTTTTAAAACTGACTTGTTCCCATTTAAAAAAACAGATCGAGGTCAGATTCGAACCTAAAACCTTTGCTGTCCCAGTCGTATTTGTTACATCGAGTATTAATGTGTCGGGGACGCTAAGAAACTTGAATTAATTGTGAAACAAGCTCCCACTAGAGATGAACCAAAGGTCCAGATGTGTCCTGTCAACAAAGTTATTTACCAAAAAAAACCCAATGCCCGATTACAATACCCTTGCTTATCACAAGAGTAATTGAAAAAAACTATGGGTATAAATTTAAACATAGGAGCGAAGCCGCGCTTCGCAAACAATAGCGAGAAAGCGACATAAATCAACTCTAAAAAGAAAAAAAGTGGGTATTAGTCTCGATTACTTCTATCTGTACAAGCAGAGCCAATCTAAAACCTTACGCTCGGAAGTAAAATGAAGCATAGCCAACAGATGGTTGGAAACTGTCAAAGAACAAGGAATATGAAAATAATTACAGAAACATTTTTTATCATTCTTCGAAGAGAAAAATATAATTATTTTAAGAGCACTTTGAAATGAAAAAAGCACATAATTGACCCCAATTGATTTCTCTCAAATCTTTCAAACCTATCTCAAAAAGAGTAAATGATCAAAGACAAAATTTTTAGACTTTGCTGCGGAACTCAGAAAAATCGAGTCAAATTTTGCAACGAAGTTATTCATGTTTTTCGCAACATTTACAATTTTTCCATTCGATAGTGGAGTTTGCTTTCCTTTTAAAATTATAAAAAGAGAAAAGAAGAGATCTTGAAATGAAATCAAAAATTAAACCGAAGAAAATTCAAAATAAGACTATTCCTGAAAAAAAATATATATATATCAAAACTAAAAAACATGAAATGTTTTGTTGAGTCTCGTAAATATTTTTTCAGATAGAATCTCGTGAATGCTTTTTCAGATATACATTTGACACAGGTGAAGCTGAGCTTCGCAAACACTTGCGACCTACTTCGATCAAAAGATTTTGAGTCTCACGCACTATAAACTCAGCCACGCAAGTTTAGCAAACGACAAACACTAGTCACGAATAAAGCAGCTACATATGCTAATAAATTGCAATGCCAGCAAAAGTGGCACCAAAAACAAATAGACTCAATTTTGCATGTAATAATTTGGAACATAACAAACTGAAGGTATCCACACTAACTTTGCATATATTAAATTGGAAAGCATAAAGCCACATTATGTATAATTTATGCATTTCACAAAATTGCGAGATATTTTGAGTTAGAAAATTTCTGAAATCGAGTTTTCATTATTATGGTTATGTTGTTTGAAACAAATCACTTCTTTCGGTTCATTTGATAAATTTAAAATGCATCAACTGTGTTAGCTTATAATTATTCGAATGTCAAAATACATGCTATGAAAAAGCTGTAAAGGTGCCCCAAAAGTGGCACCAATATTTACTATTTAGGTTTGGAACCGAAGTTTTGGGAAAAAAGAAGGTTCGTACTAACACACTCGGTTCGCAAGTGTTAATATGCGTTTAGAATATATGCATTATAATTCTTCATTTCTAAACAAAAAATTGAAAATTCAATGAATATCTCAGTTTTACATATTTAGCAGTCGAAAATTAGTTCGGATTAAGGACTATTTCGGAAAAAAAAACTTTGATTATACTAATCAATTCAGTCAAATACCTTGGAATGTTTTGTATGTAGGGCTGCGTATTTTATCGAACAAGGTGCTATTTTGGGAAGAATATTTTGGTGATAGTGATCAATTGAGTCATATACGTTGGGATGTTTTGTATGTAGGTTTCAGGTATATTTTTTATGGTGTAAGGTGCTGTTTTGAGCAATCACAAAGGCAAAAAAATTGATAATAGTCTCAAGTTGTCAACTTTCGAACTTAAGAAAATAATAGATAACCTTCAAGCTATTTGAAATTCTAGAACAAGTTATGATTGTCACTTTTTTATTACACTTTCACTGTTCGATATTAGAATTTGCCTTCCTTTTAACAAAGGAAATGAACTGAACTTGAAAGGAAATCATAATTCAAACCCCGAAAAAAATAATTTGAGCCTGAACAAATTTTAGACTTTTCCTGAAAAAAAAATCATCAACACCTATATTAAAGTCTAATCTATGTTCATCGAATCTTAAAAAATATCAACACCTACAGAAGAGTCTGAACAGTAGCGGATTTAGGGGGGCGGGGCGGACGCCCCCTCCCTCAGGGGGGACCCACTGTCGACCCAAATGGTCCCCTCTTTGTACTATTTTGAGATATCCATATTTGGTGACGGACCCTAAAAATATATACTAATTTTGAGGGGAAGGGGCGCCGAAAAAATGCGATTTTTTGGACAGCATTTTCCAAAAAGTGCTTAAAAACGCCTTTTTTCAAAAGTTTGCCTGCGGCGGAGAAAATTTGCTCAAATTAGGGTCTTTATAGTGGTTTGGGAGAGCTCCAAAAATCAATTTGGTCGACGTAAAAAAAAGGTCGACTAAGTTTTCAAATTTTTTTTTGAAAATCCAAACCCCCCCCCCCCCCCCTCGAGAAATTCCAAGATCCCCGCCTGGTCTGAACTATGTTCATCGACTCTTAAACAGGGCCCTAATGTAAACGAAGTGCCTCCAGTTTTTCAATATACTACTTCGGAGATGTCAACTAAGCAATGAATAAGCGAAAATGAGACAGGTTAATTAGGTCTGAGAAAAAGTCTTGAAAACGACCAAGCGACGTCTTTATTGCAGTATTTGGTTAGAATTAGCGGGACCTGGGACCCCTCTAAGACACTAGTACCGAATTTGTAAAATTCCATTAAGAGAAGTTCTAAGACAGCGGTTTTTAGCTCATCTACCGTTTTTATGACAATTGGATACGTGCACAGAAAGTCGCAGGTGGGGAAACGGTGGAAGAGGCCGGCTTGTGTTCAATCCCCTTGCAAATTACAAGAAAATTTTATCTGCAGCAATTTTTGCCGTATAACAGAAAAGATCAAAATCTTTTAGCATTGTAGATAAGCTTTTGAGGAAAAGAGAAATCAATTTAATATTTACTACAATTATTTAGAGATAATCCAGTAGATCCGGACAATCTCGTCTATTTCCCACTGACAAAAACTATATACCCCAACAGCCCGCCCCATTTCCACTAGCCCCCCCCCCCCCTCACCATTCAAATTTTCGATTTTCCTAGTTGTTTTACCTGTAATTATGGCTAAACGCGTAATGTTTTGATGCAAGGTATCAAGAACAAATGTGTTTATAATAGTTGGACTGTTCACCATGCGAATTTTCATTCCATTATGACTTTTTCAAAACTGAAAATCAAATGTAGGGGGAAAGTGGAAAACAACCGGGGCCGGGGGTCTGAGATATTGATCCGATTTAATTTAAAGAATCTAATTCCAGAAAAGTATGGCCTCCTATTTTAAATATCCATTATGAACGAAGATGAAGATGATCTCCCGTAATTGAGAAAAGAACGTATCATTTTATTTGACTTGACAGCACGCTGTAATTGGGTGCATGACGCATTAATCAGTAAGTTTAGTGAACAAAAATAATGAATAAGTGAATGATTCTAACCGCAAGACTGTCCTGAAAGACATGCAAATTAACATTTTAAAATGATGGTTATAATTGGAATTGTTAAGTTGATGGATGGTGACAAAATGGTAAAAGTTGTGACAAGTGTGGGTTTCGAACCCACGCATCCGAAGATACTAGGGCCTAAACCTAGCGCCTTAGACCACTCGGCCAACTTGCCTTGCTGATAAGAAAATTAAACAAAACAAAACGCGTCTATTGTGGTTGGTGCATGTCCGATCATGCAGGGGTATATACCAAAAATCTGGTACAGTGCTGATTTAAATTAACCGGACAAAACGCGTTAAACTTGAAATTCAAAACGCGTTTTTCTCAAATTGGGTTGAGTTTAGGTGAAAACTTTTGAATACAAAACTTGCTTAAAACTTCGGCAGGATTAATATGGTGTAATTTGTTTTGCGAAATTCGGGCCTAAAATTTTACCCTAAAAATGGTTAGTTAATCAACCAAGTTCTTAGTTAATCAAAAATTACGCCAAAAAATACCCAGTCGATCACATACATAATTATATCAAAGTGATCTCCTTACGTAGCGCAACAAACTTTGAGAACTGTTTATTCTCCAAAAAAAAATGCAAATCGTTTAAAAATTGTTTTTAAATAAATAGTTGATATTTTTTATAGTAAAAACGACCTTTTTTGTCTATCAAACAAAAATAAATTCACTTATACAATGTTTTGGAGAATATACTCTTCTTAAAGTTTGTTGGGCTACGTAAGGAGCTCACTTTGATATAACTATGTCTGTGATCGACTGGGTATTTTTTGGCGTAATTTTTGATTAACTAAGAAAAGCCAAAATGACCCATTTTTGGGGTAAAATTTTGGGCCCGAATTTCGCTAAACAAATAACACCATTTTAACCCTGCCAAAATTTTAAGCAAGTTTTGTCTTCATAAGTTTTGACCTAAACTCAACCCAATTTGAGATAAACGCGTTTTAAATTTGAAGTTTAGCTCGTTTTGTCCGGTTAATTTAAATCAGCACTGTATTGCATTTTAGGTCCGACTAGGCTAATTATACTATTTAGACTCAACGTCTTAACTACTATACCTTACAACCTTGATCAAAATTGGTTCAAGAGCTTGACATAGCAGTTTCTGTGTTTGTTACATTGCTAAATGAACAGAAGGACGTATGGGAAGTCACCGAACAGACTGACCTCTTCGAAAGATCCCATGCCGGATGAGATTGAAATGGGAGTGGAGTCCTGCTGATTGTTCTGGCTCTTCTTCTTGGTGGAGATGGAGAGGTACTTCTCCTGACTGTGACAGTACTTCTCCGTCGCCTTCTTGAACTTCTTGTAGTCCTCCTTCACAGTGTCTGCGTGGTTCCTCTGGTAGTGCTGCAGACCAGCCACTAAGGCGTCCAGGCCTGCCTCTTGCTAAACGAGAAGAGAAAAAACTAAGATAAGTAGTGTTGGCTCTGGAATTCAATAGAAAACTCCTGCAAACATTGATTCACGGGCGTCTCTCGTGCCAAATGAAAGTTCAGCGGAGCAACCGTTCGCTTATTTAAATACTTCATGATTATTTTCAGCTATCCTTTAACAAAATAAATTGATCAGTTGTCCAAGTATTCTGCTGTGAAAGACAAACCTTCAGTTGTTAAGACGGTTTAACCAAACCAAATCAAATCGTTTATTCGATACAGTGAAGAGAGTACAATCTGCAAAATCATTCACTGCATCAGGGTAGCTAGAACAGGCTGTTCAGCCTAACAAGTAGCTACCCCCGGGATAACTATTACAATTAAGCAACGACAAAGATCAGTTCATGCTAATTAGAAAAAATTGTCGATCAGCTGTACATTATCAATAATGTAGTTTTCCTTTAAATTTTTTAAAAAAGTTTGACAGTTTCTCATCAGAGTAAGTTTCAATGTTATCTGGAAGAAGCCTATTTGACATCAAAAGGTTGAAGCATTTCACAATTTTATAAGAGAGAGAATTTTCCATCAGTTTTGTTTTGCAGCGGTAAAAGGGAATCAAAACCACAACGGAAAGATCCAACACTCGAAGCTGTTGGATCAAGTTAACAAGAGTTATCAAGTTAAATGATGGAAATTTATTTTCAGTTTTTTTCAGCCAATCAAAATTGAGTCTTCAAAAATTTCAAGAAGTCGCGAAAATCTTAAAGAAAGAGAATAAATCCAATAAATCCAGGCTATTTAAAGAAATATGCACATACATGGCTTTTCAAATTTTAACGAAAATAAAGTCTGGGATTGGAAAAACACGAAAACCAATTTTTTTAAAAATGAAAAATAACCCAAAAAACGTGTTGTGTATCTGCTGCTATAACTCACTTTCTGTTAATAATGACTTCGGTTTTGTACAATATACATTTAGCCAGTAGGAATGTCTAGTTTTCTGATTGGTTAGAAATTTTCCATCATTCGGTCCCTCCATCTTCAGAATACCCCAGGCTGGGTAATGCGTGTTATATTTTTTGCTTTAACTATTCGCACTCAATTTCTCAATAAATGTGTATCGCCAATAAGTTTCATTTGCACCCACATGTATGGGCATGTAAATTTTTAAAGTTGAACGCTGCTGGCGTTTGTAAGTTGTAAATTAGCTTATTGTTCCGAGCTTCGAAAAAAAGATGGAAACAAAAACTTTTCGAATACCTCTTCGGCTGATTTTTGGGATAAAGTTAAGATCCCTCCCCCCAGATAGACTAAGTTAAGATCTTCCACACCAGCATTTAATTCGCATTAAATTTGCTAAGCGCTGCATGTAAAATGCTCGATTCTGATTGGCTGAAACTTTCTAACGTAGAACCAAGTTAACACCCTTCCCCCCCCCCTCCAACGGCTTTGGGGGGATGTTAACTTGGTCCGATTTTTATACTGATTTGCGTATATTGATGCTCTGAGCACAAAATAATGGGACTAGGAAATTAGACAAGCAATACAGACGACCGTAAGAAAACGAAATTTAGACAATAAATCTTTGTGAATTTAGACAATAAAAAATGGGTCAACAAAACTTACTTTTAGAATCCAGTCAAATGAAAACAAAAAGGAGAATATGATAACAGAACTGATCAAAATTTTTATCGTGAGTTAATTATAAAATATTAAATCAAAAAACTTACATTTTTGAAATGCATATATTATACAACTGACATTAATAACCAGGGGTGTTCAAAAATTAATGGCGGGGGGGGGGGGGGGATTTAACTGCAATTAATGGGATGCAATTATTCGACTGCGGTATTTTTCAAACCCATTAGTTGATGGTAAAGCAAACAATTAATTGGCAATTATCAAGTATTTATAAAGCGTATTGTAATAGTATTGCAGGCCTAATGTAGCCTGGATTTTCTTTCAGTGTGAATAAAAAAAAGTAAATTCTATTGGCTAGTGGAATTGTTTACATATTACGACAAAAGCGCGTGTGACATTAACTGCTCCAGTGAAAACAAAGCAGCATGACTACTAATTCATTTCGTAAACAAATATACGAAGGGTCTTTTACACCTGGAGCATTAGAGATTAAATGGACATGTACATGTGGAAAAACTGTCCCGCAGAAAAAAGGAAAGGGCTGGACAAATCTATGGAACCACAAAATTGCAGTTCACCAAGACTATGAAAAAACGGAACACCAGAGCACACTTATCGACTACGTATCATCACCGGTGGAGAATGTGTTTGGGTGGATCGACTGGATCACAGACTGCTTGTATCCTTTCAGTTTTGTCGAAAATGAAACAAATCGAAAGTATAGAAGCTTGAAGCCGATTTCTCGCAATACTCCACAAAAATACATGATTGGTTCATCGGCCAAAGTTGAAAGCGAGGACAAAGATAAGTTGAAAGGAAAGTTCTGTATTCTGATGGATGGGTTGTCCAAAGGCAGCACCCATTACGTGGCACTTTTTGCTGCCCTTCCAGATTCGAAGGTGAGCGCAGGTTATTCCACTGTTTTGTTGTCTTTTTCGCCATTATACGACGAGACCAACTTAAATGCAGACGAACACAGCAGGTTTATAAAATGGGTTGTTCAAAATTTGAATGGAAAGAACATGGAAACATATGTTATTTCGATAACAGGCGATAATTGCAAGGTGAATAAGTCGTAAACTCGGAAGCTCAGAAAGACCTTAGTGGGTTGCGGGTCCCACCGGCTAAACCTCGCCAATAAACTTGCTTGAACACAAAGTTATTCTGAAAAAATCAACACGTTTATGGGCAAGTTCAAAAACTTGATTCTCGGGGCAAAAATGAGGAAACTCACATCATTGGTTTCGGTACAACGCAACGTCACGAGATTGAGTAGTACGTTTGATATGATAAAAAGAAACTAAAAACTCATTTCAGTACATTTGAAAATGATACCGCGCTGGCTGCATACTTGACCTCACCATTCGAAAACAATCTGCTAGAGAACCTGCTCAATCAGTTTACTAAGCTGAATTCAGTTACGAAAGCGCTGCAAAGAGTAGAAATCACAATATCTGACATGCGGGCTCTGTTCGACAAGGTCATCAAATCTCACCCGATGACATCCAAATACCTGGCTTCTGATGCGTCCATTGTTTTTGATGTTGTGTTTGAATCTGCTATCACGAAAATTCAGAACAAGAACGAACGTTTTATGACTCAAGAAGAAGTTCTGGCCGTGAAAATGCTGAAGAAAAGCGAAGATGAACGAGCTTCAGCAACAAGCATCTCAGAGTATTTTGCACAGAGTATAATCAAAGACGATTTTGCACAGAGTATAATGAAAAAGAAGAGAATGTGCGACTCCGGGTCCGACTACGAAGGAATTCTGTGTATTACCTACGTCAAACATGGTGGAATGCTTTTACAGCACAGCAGGTATAGCTCTAAGCAACTACCGGCATCGACTTTTGCCAGCAAACTTGGAATGTCAGCTATTCCTTGAGTACAATCGTCGACTATAGGACAAAAAGACACTGAAGTTTGTTATAAATCATCCTAAAATTGCAGAACAATAAAAATATGTTTTGTTGAAAATATGTTTTGATTGAGAAAGCCCGTTAAATGCAATTAATTGCAATAATTGATTGATAGAAAGTCCCCATAAAGTGATTGCCTTGGAAAAAACTAGATTTATGATGGGACAACTCAGCCAAAATTTACTTGTCGTCTGACTTCCTAAATCAACAAAAATATATTTATATTTCCCCTGTGATCCTTTTTCGTAAATACGAAGATTTTAATTATGGATAACTTGAGATAATTATTGCGCGCTATATAAAAAATTAATTTGTAGCGCAAGTGGCGAAATTATCCGTCTCAAAATCGGTCTCAAAGTTTAGTTTATAGTCCGACTATGGGAGAGCGTTTTTCTATGGAGAGCTAATTACCACGTCTGATCCCAAAAACTGTTCTCGAATATGAAAAGTGAGCTCAGAAAAATGAGGAACTTCAGAGAGGACATCTAGAGGGGAACTTCAGCTCAAAACAGAAGAACCTAAAATTACTGAGAAAACACAACGCTCAAAAACACCGTGACATTCTAATTGACAATTCAATGGCTCCTTAAAATTAACAAGGTTTTATGTGCTTAAAACAGACAAAAGAAGGCCACAGACAGACCAACCCGCAACTCAATTTCTTAGAGCAATAAAAAAAAATTGGTGCAAAAAGTGAAAACTGTCAAGAGTGATGAGAGATTTGTACACAGAAGCGAAGTTGTACTTCGCATACACAAGCAAAAATATGACCGGTAACGCTACTGGTAAAAACCGAATGAGTAAAACTTTGAGTCTACAAAATTTCTTAAGTCACGCAAGCCAATTATGACGCATTAGCAGTACCAGTCAATTTGAAAAAAAAAAGAAATTTACCAGCTAACATTCCTCAATTTATAGAGCAGACGCATTTAAACTAGTATACGAAAAAGTTCATTAAAACATCAGACCCTGCACAGGTTATAACCCTCGTATTTTATTGCGGGTCTCCTTCCCTACCTCTACGCTACAGATCCATGATATCTTGAAGCTTAAATGCTATTTGTAATATAATTGTCTGTGTTAAAATCCTTAGCATTGACTGTATCTCTACATAACTGCTAAGTGATGCAAGCCAATTATGACGCATTAGCAGTACCAGTCAATTTGAAACAAAAGAAATTTACCAACTAACATGCCTCAATTTATAGAGCAGACGCGTTTTAACTAGTTTACGAAAAAATTCATTAAAACATCCGACCCTGCACAGGTTCTAACCCTCGTATTTTATTGCGAGTCTCCTTCCCTACCTCTACGCTACAGATCGATGATATCTTGAAGCTTAAATGCTATTTGTAATATAATTGTCTGTGTTAATATCCTTAGCATTGGCTGTATCTAATAGCTAGTTATTGATCAAAATGAACACTTTCAAAATGAATACATTTTGTCGCAAAAATTGCATAGCAACAATAGTTGCGACTTAGGTTGGCAAAAAAGAGAGAGTTCACATTATAACACAAGCTTTGCTGGTGTAATAAACAGAGATTTGTATAAACAGTGATTTTTCCGATGAATTCGCGGAGAAACTGGAGACAAATTTCTATATGCTTTAGAAAATTGGTCCAAAAGATTTGCTAGGACTAATTATATCAAGTAGCATTGTCGAAGGTATTATAATTATTTCTGGCAACTGGAAATCGTATCATAACTTGGCAAAAATGTAGCTATGACCAGCAAACTGAAACACTACGACTAAGCTTTGAATCTATCTAAGTTGCGCTTGTAATCAAGTGAATTGTGCCGAAGGAAGGCGCAACAAAGCAAAATTTGAAAACAAGAAGTATTGAGGAACTTAAAGAACTTTTTTGGATTCTTATCTGTGTGAGTTTATGTAGCGCAAAATAAAAAAGACTGACAACAAGGGCTTTTTGATGAAATACTTTATGATATTAGCATGCTTAATCAGCCAATTCAAACTCACCTTTTGACGTTTTCAAAGATGCATTGGAAAAAATTCCAAAGCAAACTGAGGCAAGCTAATCGCCACCAAATAACGCCTAACAGATTTTTTAGAAAAACCCTTTTTAACTTAATCTGGCGAGTGAGATGAAGAATAAACACCAATTGCGATATAAAACAATAAATCAGCTTTGTTAGAAAAACTTATAAAAAAATTAATAAAGCTTATTTTGAAAAAACGCGAGACAAAATCTGTGAAACAAGCATCGAATGAAACCTTACTAAGCGGAAAAAGCCGAGCAAGTTCGAGCAGAAACTCTTTAAAGCAAAAAAAAATAAAAATACTTAAAGCAAAAAATTTTTTTTTAATAAATCGAGTTGGTATAATTACTACCACCATTAACAGCAATTTTGGAATAGGACGGATGTTTAAAACGCTAATATGCTAAAAATCAGTGTGTTGCAGTAGATCCAACGGAGGAGACGCGCCCTGTGAAAAAAGTTACTTAAAGGGAAAAGGTCTAGTACCCGGTTGCAACACACGAGCTGTCGCAAGTGAATAGAAAAAAATCTTTAAAAATTTCTTGATAATGTTAGTAACTGCTAATCTTCATATTATTTACCCAGATACGAGCAGTCTAGTTTTATATATCCTCTTTTTGGTAAAATAAGTACCGATGCGTGATAAAAGCTCGTCGGTCGCTGTTATAACCTCAATCAGACTTGACGATAAGAATTTAGACTTAGCCGTTAATTGACTTGGCCTTAACGTTTTCATTTACATTGAGTTGGCACGAAAACATTTTAGCAATTCGGAATCAATAATATAATTCAAATTCAAAATTAGCATTCTCAACAGAAAATAAACACTACCTTACCACAGTTTGACATTTCTCTTCTTGCATCTTCATCATATCCACAAACTCATGCACTGCATTATCTACACACAAAAAATAACTGATTTCAAAATGCCTGATTCGTTTAAGATTTTTTCATTCAATAATCAATCAGAGTTAGACTAACATGCGACCTCCTCGTCTCTCGTCATGTTTTCTCCATGGGGCACCGGGTGCTCCCTGATTGAGTCCAGAAGGACCTTATACGCAGCCAGGGTTTCTAAACAGGATATACTTATTTATAGATGTGGATTTGGGCAAGGGGATCCAATGAGCACAAGATGATACAAAATTGCGGTGAAGCAAATTGTAAGCTGGAAAAAAAATGATAAATTAAAAACAATTGTCACTTTTCGCAATATTTTTAAAAACAAAAATCAGCAAACATATTTGAAGAAATATAAATAATAAAGAAGTTAAGTCTAATTCCAAACGAATTATTGAACTTAATTTTTTTTCATCTCAGGCAAAGGTTAAAAATGTATGAACGTTATTTATAGGAGCCAAGACAACTTAGGACAGAGAAATACGTTTTAATAAAAAGCAGAAAAACTGATCTCCATTTTTAGACTGGTGGTATATAAACAACCCGAAGTATAAACCAGCCGAAAATACTTGAGTATCATATATTACATAAATAGTTATGAAACAATTATATAAACAGAGGCGAAGCTGCGCTTCGCAAACACTAGCTAGAATACGACAAAAAGCAGCTTTATAAAAATGTATTATGAAAAAATAGAAATAAGCCCCGAATAAGTAAAAACTTTGCTACGTATTGGCTTCGAACCTGGACCTTAAAAACTAGAGTCTCACGCCCTGCCCTCGCAGCCAGGAAAGCTTAGAGTTAAAAATTTCTCAAATCGAGTTTTTATTATTGTTATGTTGTTTGAAACAAATAACTTTTTTCGGTTCATTTGACGAATTAAAAATGCAGCAATTGTGTAAACTTATTACTAATCGAATGACAAATCGCATGCTATCAAAAACCCTTAAAGTGCTACCAAAAAGGGCACCATGTTTTGCAACTTAGGTTGGAAAAAATAGTCGTAGTATAACACTAACGCTGACTAAAGTTCGCTAGCGTAAACAGGTACGAAAGTCATGCAAATTTCATTCCTATAATGTTATTTTTCGGCTGCCTCATATACTCTGTGCATACTCGGTTCGTTTATACAGTGCTGATTTAAATTAACCGGACAAAACGAAAACATTCAAATTGAGTGAGGATAAGACAAAGAGTGAAAAGAAAAACGGAGTAAAAACACCCTTTTTACAGAACACGCTTTTTATTCAAACAACAAACATGCTCGAAACTTTTATGTTGCACCAAAGTTCTAACAGAGGCCCCGAAGCGATAAAGCCTGAGTGAGACCTCCACGAGATGATGAGTCCTGCCTTGTGAACAATGTTGAACTCGGAGGAAAATTCTAGTGCCCAATTGCAAAACACTTGCTTTCGCAAACGTAAAAAAAATCAACAAACCGATTACATATACAAAGATTACACACCATTAAAAATTTTTCGAAATCTATGGACCCGAAAACAAACAGAACTAAGGGAATATAACAGAAGGAAAAAGAGCGGAAAGCAACAAAAGATGAATTAATGTTCACACGTTAAAGAGCACACTGATTTTTCTTGACAATCAGAAGAAAACGTCGGAATATTTTAATGCAGCTCGAATTGCGACTCGAAAGGATTGAAAAAGATATCACTCGGTCTTAGCTGACGTTCATTAGTTGTAACCTGGATTTAATTGAAAAAACATTTGAATCCAAATTTGTCCAATCAGAACAACGTCGAAAAAGAGTTTTTTGGGGGTCTCACCAGTTTGTCCACTATGAAAATTCTCTCAATAGCGCAGATTTTTGCTTCAAAGAAAAATCATTTTTCATCTGATAATGCTTTACAGAAACGAATGCGTGTCGGAATGTGCTAGAGTGATACCTTACATATTCAACAAAAGTAGAAACAAAATTACGATGATGATGATAGAAATATTAATGGACTTCAAATATTAATGTTCTTCAACACAAAACCGATCTTTCCAAATGCAAACAAAAAAAACGTCAAAATGGTATAAAATTCATAAAAATACAAAAATAAGCATTAAAAAGAAAAACCAGTGATTATCTGGGATTTGAACGGCAACTGCAACAAGTCCTAGTACCAATTAAACAAGTTCTTGTGCATTCATTGTCATCCAAAAGAGACACGACTAACTTTTCTGTTGCTCCTTCAGTATCAGTGCATTCTTGATGACAGTCTTAAAATGACTACTGATGTCTTCGAATGTCGAGTACTTCCCTCTCAGAGTGGATCTGAAGTGAGGACTGTCCAGAATACATTCTGTGAACTCCAATCGATTGCTCCACACACCATCCGGAGTATCCACAGCCATTTTTGCTTATAACTTTTTCGTTATAACTAATTTTTGGTTATAACTTCTGATTAAGCAATTGCTTGTTCTTCTCAAGCTCACAATAAGCTCTTTCAAAAATTCGCGCCTACACGCTTTTTTGAGCTCTTGGAAACCTTTGCGATTTGCAGTTTTAAAGGAGCATGTTGACGTAACAATCACTCATGAAATAATTCGAAATTACTAAATTAGATTCGAGACAGCTAGTTATTTGAAACCTCCAACAACTTTAAAGTAGGCCAGGATGGTGTTCAAAACTTGCATTCAAACATCGTATCAATCTGAAAGCATATCACATAGCATACAGTTTATCTGCACTGTCCTATTTAGAGCTGGTTTTGAAACAATAGCTCCGAATTCAGGTCGAGTCTTTTATGTTGCTTAAAAGTAGCTATTTGTTATTTGGAACAAGAAATCTAAGATGTATCGAATGTCATATAACCTATTATTAAGTAATGCTAAAGACGCATGTAATGTCAACCTCAACACCATTTATTGAAAATAGATCTCAATGCTACTGATTTTGTGATGGTCATGCTAGAAAAACAATTATATTAGGGAAACCTCAACCAAATTAGACGACAACTATTCCGCGCTAAGATTTCTCATTACTTATCAGTCAATTTGCAGACCACATGTAATGCGAAGAGAGGAATGTTTCGACAGCGGAACTCTAATCGACACTTCAGGAAGCGACCGATCCGCAAAGATAGGCGATGTTTTTATCTTCATGTGACCCCTGACCAAGTCAGCTAACTCCGAAACCAGTTCATCTCCTGAGGTTGAAGAACGAGGCACCAATGCAAAAAGACATGACATTGCTAGTCCCAATTTTTTCGCTTCCGCCCATCCGAATTCATTGCTCAAAACAGGGAAAAAACACGGATCTTCGTCAATTTTGAAAATCATATGCTTCGGTTTTTGGATCCCGTGTATTTCCATGTTCCTTGAGACCAGAAAAATGCCGTCGATAGGGTCATTGTTTCTCACAAATCCGTCAAATACTTCCAGACTTCTCTTAGCTTGTGTTGCACACTTATCCAAAAATTTCACTAAGTTTTCGCTGTCCTTTTCATCAATGCCTTGTAGCAAGTTGTTGTGTGGATTGCAGGGATCTATAATATACGGCTTATTCTTATCAGGTTTTTTTTGCAAGTACGATCCAAATAAAAGCTTTTCCTTGTGCTCAATTTGAAGTTTTCGACACGAAAGGTGATCCGCCAATAAGTCCAGGAACTTCCGAAATGCTCCTACCAATTTGTACGGTTCTATCGGCAGCACATTGCTAGTCACTTCAATCGCAACCGATTCCAGAATTCTCATTTTTGTTCCAGTTTTCAACTCAAAAGGGCAACAAGACGTTACCCACAGTTTTACAATTCGAATTAGCTGGTGCGCTTTCTGACTTTGACCTTTCAACCATGCTGAATTCAATTCACAGAAGGAATGCTTCAATTGAGTTTTACCGATATCGATACGATCTTGTTCATTTGGGAGTTTCTTGAACAGTTCGAGTAGTCCTGATGCTTGCTTCCACGAAAGCGATTGAAAGGTTTTTTCAGGTGTCAACTCCACGTCTTTCTCAGAGTAATATACAGACGCGTCCAGTCCAACTCGAATAGTAACTTTTAATCCTCCGGAAAGCGATACAAACAAATTATCGCTGGACTCTGAACAAATGAAATCGTTTTCATTCAGAATTTCTTTCCACTTATCCATGATTTCTGCAGCTTTCTCGTCAAATAGCTGAACAAATTGAGATGATTTCCATGAACGACTTAAGTCGCCAAAGTCTAAGAAAATTACACAGCAATATTCGGGTAATATCCAAGTAGTACTTTGAGTACCTGCAGCGCCTTTAAGATGAAATCTGACAACTTCTCTCTCGGTGTAGGTGGACTTGACAAGTTCGAACACGTCGTGACTAGTTTTTTGTGCAATAATCTCGGCTCCTTCTAGCGCTATAAGACCATGGCTAACTGTTGCCAATATTTCATCAGCATTGTTTATTTGAGATTTTCTTCGCGCCATTGTTATTTAACTAAGTTCCCAAATTTCTTGTTCAGAATTTTGTTACGCCTGCTTGTTGTTAAAAAGTGTTTAAAATTAATAGCATTGTAATTGATGCAACATTTTGAACAAGCAATAAAAGCTAGAATATGACCCTATTTACGAGCAATGTTATTACATGCCATATGTTGCTACCATTTACAAGAGGAGCGCGACAAACAAATCGGAAATCAATTTATCGCACATATGGTTTTATAAATTTTTTTAACAATTGCCATCAGAGGCGCGGCAGAGTTTTGCAACAATTAAGAGCAAAAAAAAGATGAACAAAGTGGTGAAGCGGAGTAAAGCATTGCAAGCTGTCGAATAGAATATGAGACGGAAATCATTAAGTCAAAAAATATCTGATAAAAAAACAACCCTTGTTTCGACTGATGCTCAATTGCAGGAAAACACAGTCGCAAATCACAATCCCCAGGTGAAATAAGACTATAATATAACTTGCGACGGGCCTTCAAGCCGACAATATCAGGTCGACGACCGTTCAGCCGAAAAACACAGAGCAGCCAAAAAAATTTGAGCTACTAAAATCCACCACTCCTACACACAAAAAAGTATGTAAAAAATTGGCCCCAAAGGCCTTGAGGTTCCATAGTGGAGCAAGCTAAATTTCTTACAGATTTGTTAAGAAAAGTGGTACAGAAAGAAAAAATCTAGGAAGAAAAAAACTTAGCTTTCGATTACAACTCACCCACTCTCGCAAGTGAAATTACCTAACACAACTAAAATTACAAAATATTTTGGAAATAAAACCACTTGCATCAAACAAAACAAGGATCGCCGGCTGCTAAGCAAGTAGCACTGATGTTCCGGCCGCAATGATTTATTTAAGGAAAAATCGTTTAGAAAATCAAAAAATTTTTGTAAATTACCACATGATTTCTGAATTCTATAAAAACTGTAAAATTAGAGCTTAATTTACATGAAAGACCGTAAAAATTGCGATAGAATTAAATTGGGAGTCATCTAAGTTGAGTTCAGTTTCAGCAAAATTTTGTTTGCAAACTGAAAAAAATCAGACACATTTTATCCAACACAGACACTTTCGAGCTTTTCTGGAGAAGAATTACCGCAGAAAGAGCTCCAACACGATTTCACCTTTTAAGTCGTACAGAATGGCAGGTAGCTCTGAGCGGTTTGGGAACTTATACCTACTACCTCACTTGTCTCCATCAGATCTTCAATAGTAAAGAAAAATTATATTTTCTAGCCACATCAGAAAAATTTCGTTAACCACAGACTGGAAACCTTCAACTTTCATTGGCATTTGCGAAAGTTCCGATGAAGAAAAGTTGCCAGTCGAGTGGGTCTTCAACGAGTGAGGCAAACATGAACATAGCCATAAGACTTTGTCAACTTATTTCTCTTCTCTTTTTTTTGAACTTAAAGATACTTGTTTAGACGTTTATCGTCAAGTTTTGCAAAACATTCACAAAAGTCTCTGTTAAATAGAACAAAATAAATGATTGAACACCGAACTCTTGTTTCAAGCTTATCTGAAACATGCTACATTCACCATGCAACATAAAATCGTTTTCATTATTAGCCATTTACCTACTGAAATCAAAACTTCCCAAAGAAAACAAGGATAGCCGGTTACTGTGCAAGTCGCGCAGAATGTCCCGAACAGTCTTATAAAATTACAAAATTGTTTTTTCAAATTTTTGTCGTTTTTTTTTCGGCGAGGTGAGATAAAGGATTCTGGGGGAAAAGTAGAGCTTAGTCATTGTCGTCAGTAATAATAAAATATGCAAAAGTTTCGAAGACAATTGAAAACAATTTTCGAAGACAAACAACGAAAAAAAATCAAAATTTAAAACTATTTTTTTCAAAAATTTTTCCCAAACTTTGAAGTTTTTGATTCCTGAGATGAAGCTAAGAACTCCAAAAACTAACATCATTTGAGTAAAACCAAAAATTTTCAAGGCTTAAAAAAAAAGAATAAATAAGCTAATATAAGCCTGCTCACTCGCTCAAAATTAGACGAGAAATCAAAAATTTCAAACCGGTTTTTCTCGACAATGGGAAAACTTTTGAGAAATTGTAGTTTTTGGGAAACTAAGTATTCTGTACTAAGTATGCATTTCAAACACACACGCGCAAATAAAACTGGTTTCTTCATCTTTTATGCGGGATTGAATTTGTATATGCTGGTAATTACACAAAATAATGTTTCAATTCAAGTTTCTTTTAAAATACGGTTAATTTTGAACGGATCTAGGCTACTCTCAAAATTAGATTATGAAAAAATCATATTTTCTTCCGCAAATCGGATTGGGGCGGGGAAAGGAATTGTACGGTTGAACCGCTATCCTTAACTAAAATTAAATTGGTAGATTGGTTTAATCAACATTTGGAAGATGGTGTTATTTGTGATGGTGCACAAACAATAACTTTTAAAAACCGGAGTTTCTTTTTAATTTGAGAAGACAAGGATACAGCAAAAAACTTCATTAAAGAAAAAAAAGCAATCAGAAACTGTAATCTGTAATTGAGCAATGTAAACATTCGGCGTTTTCAATTGTCATTGGAAAATTCATGAAATCCAGTTTTTCTCGTCTTTTGATAAAAGGAATGAGCTGAGAGAAATTATAACTATTTTAAAATCGTCGATCCGTTTTCTGGCTAAGTAATATTTATTGCTCGCTGTAACTTCAAAGTCAACACAGAGGCGAAGAGGAGCTTGCGATACAATGCAAAAAAGCCGCATAGTCAAAAAAAGAAATAAAATAGCTGTCGAAAAAAACTAGATCTATCAAAATGAAACCTTTTAAGCCAAGTAAAGAGAGAGAGAAAACGAATTAAAAAAACTGGAACTGGAGTTGTAAATTTTACCAGCAACCTAAAAAAACAAATTTCGAAGTCGCCTGTTAATTGACAAAAGTAGTCTTGATGATGACCAAAAAAATTCAGTCAGCCTGTGAATAAAGTTGTTTACGGGAAAAAATGTCCGTTTGCAACAAACTTGCTTATTGCAAGGGTAAAAAAGTAAAAAAAAATGTACCTCGTTTTCCCCGTCAGTTTTTGTGTTATTTGAAACAGCTCGACCAACAACAAATCACTTTCATATAACCCAATCACCACAACTGAGATTTATTTCCGATGACTGTCTCTGTTTTCGATGGCAACATAATTGCTTTTAAGGAATCGAAAGAGGGTTAATGCGATATAACTTTTGACTAACTTCTCTGTGCTACTGACTGGAATAAGCTACAAGTTAAACAAAATGACGCGTTGAGAACTGTCACCGTCTGTGTAAGAATGACACATATTGGCCGACTGCACAACGAAATGCTCAATACAATTGTTACTTGGCAGTCGCCCTCCCCGTTGAGCGGATCATGAAACAACAGTAAGTAGTAGTAGTACTAGAACGGTTAAAGTCTACACCAAGAACCACCTAAACAAATTGCTTTACTCAATTCCACCAGAAAAAAACGATAGTGTAGATGAATAGGCTCGATCGTGATGCCAGGTAAAAACTTGCTCAGCTCCGACTAGGATACTCTCCCTTGGTGAATAATTATCGGAGTAGGTTAAAACCTACAAACGTCTGTGGAATCTGTGTTAATAGGCCTCATTAAAGTCAAGGCCCTCATGATGTTAATCACATATTTCACTGTCGAGGAAGACCGACAGATCCACATGTCCTCAGTCTCTGGACTGACCTCCTCCGGGTAGCTATACTTCCTTCAAGAAATAATAAGCATGCCGGAGGATGCTGGCCTCACAACAACATAACAAGACGAGAGGCCCACTTAGACGAAGTCCAGTCTCAAACCGACGTTCAACTAACCCACAAATTAGATATGCCTTATATATCCCGACGCGGGCCAGCGACACTGGACTGTGGACGAGACAAAGCAACTCAAACTAACTTTCATCTCCTACCGAGATAAAGGAGAAACAAAAACGAAACGAAACCCGCTGCCTATGAAGGAGACGAGGCAACAACAACAGCAACAACTAACTTATACGACCACCACAACTCTGCTTTTTTGGGCAATTAAATTCCAATTAGTTGTTTGCGTCCATTTTCAATTTGTTTGAAAAAAGCGCTCTTTCTAGGTATTGCCAAAAAGAGTACAGGCTCGAGTAAAATTGCAATACCCGTGCTAATCAGAAGGGGAAAAATAAATGTTCGCAGCCTTCAGTTGAATTTAAAAGTCTCCCAGCAACAGATACACTACTAAACGTTAAAAGATTAACACATACTTTGAATCGATAAATTTATTTAAATAGTTTTGTCCTCTATAAAGGCGATTAGGCTTCAGTAAGGTATATAAAACTTCACGAGTATCGAGAAAAACTACTTGTCTTATTTAAAAGCATCTGGTTCTTAAGATTAGTGACAAATGTGCACCAAAATGATTCAAAGCACAAACTTACTAAATCGTGATTTGTAAGAGATCATGTATGTATGTGATTTTAAAGCTTAGAGAATTTCCAGTGAGCTGAAAAACACAACCAAATGAGGAGTCTTGAAAGTAGAAATTCTATTTAGGCTACATAGAGAAAACAATTCCCCTCATTAAAACAAGTTTCATCAATGTTTTTCAATGTCAGCAATGCAATAAACCTGTCATCATATGTTTCTCACAAACAAAAAAGCGTTACTTTGAATACTAAAGCACTTTTATTCAATTTACTTTTAAACGCTTTGACGTATTCATTGTCGTGTGCTACTTGCGATAGTCGTACTGGTGCAGTTCTTTAGATTATTACATCTACTTACTCTATGCTGCTGTTCTTATATATTTATTACAAAGCATGGCACGTTCAACCTCCGTTCTTGCTCGTAGTAGCGTAGTATTGAGTTAACAGTCAGTTGGAAATACGCAGTTTCTACCACATAAAATCAATTTCTACGCTCTTCGATTACGTTGTTTTGTCTTGCGAGCTCAATACTGATTCTACTTTCACTCTAAACATTTTCTGCAGCTTTGCGTATAATTTAATTTGTGCAAATCTACAGACAAAATATGCCCCCTAAAGCTAGGCTGAAGAGATCCACGACCATCCAGCAAACTGTGGAAGCATCGCAATCATTTGTTGGCTCCATTGGAACCACTAGAAAGCGAAAAGCGCCGGTGACAGTAGAAATTGATGCTCCCAAGAAGAAAGTGAAACTAGTAAAGCAGCAGACAATGAAAGTCACGGCAAAAGAGGGCAAAACAATAACGAAAGGCAAGGCGAGAGGAAAAACTAGAGGCAAAACAGCTGCAAAGAAGCCCAAGGTTTGATCGCTTGATTTTTGAATAGGCGCGATGACTTAAAAAAATGCCCAGCTAATTATTTTTAGATAAGGCATATTTTTCATTTCGACCATAACAACAATAAGCAGCCAAACCAGATACTCGATGATCTTGAAGGGTATAAAACTAACAATAAATCTGCTTTTAGCTTGCAAAGCATACAACGATGAAAGCAACCAAAGCTGAAGGTGAAAGATTGCTAGGCAAGAAGAAGTTAGATAGCACGCGAGGTAAGACTAAGGCAAAACCCAAAATGAAGAGAACGGGTACAATGCAAGCCACCGCAGCTTCAGCAGTACAATTTCTCCCAACCGGCGATCGCTACTTTACCGAAGTGAAAACATTTGTTGCGGATAACATGCTCCAGAAGAAAAAATGAAATACCTCCACTTCTCTATCTACTGATGATTAACACTCTCATATTAATTGATTTTTCATTGAGTTGCCAAACTTAATACTCATTCTGTTTATACTATCATTTTTGAACTACATAAAAATCTTCTTCAAAAGTCTTTTCAACTTCACGACGAAGCAAACATAAAAAAGAAAGATTTCTGTGCAAGAAGCATAGAAAGTTCCGACCATTCGTTTAGTAATCGATAGTTAAACAATGATTCAATTTTGCTCTCATTAGTGAAGATTTTATTTCGAAGATTCTAGAAGGGTGGGAATGAGAAGGAACTATGGCGTGAGGTCCTTTTTTTGAACACAAATCTCGAAGGGAGTCATGTGTCGCATCATACGAAAGATCTCATTAAATATGATTCCGTAAAAAGTTACCGAAGTGTCAAAAAAACTGCCTGATTTTTAGGCGTTTTTCAGCCTAAATAAGATGAAAATTGTTGACACGCTGTCCTCCTCATAAGTTTAATTCTACTACATTTTTCAAGCTTTTTACCTATAGTTAACACAAAAGATTTAATTACAAAAGGTGCCCTTCCATTTAGTTACGGTAAGTGCACAAGCTGGATAGGGCCATACCAGAGTTAAAAAATGCATATATATCAGCAAACAATCTTTTTATCATTGTAGTCATTTATCAGCATTAAATGCACCGTCGTAACGTTAATTTATCTTAGCGGTCCTTCCTCTACAAAAGCGCTAAAGGAGTTGTCAATAAATTGAACTTTGCCCAGCGATCTACACCCCTTTTACTAAGTATAGAGCTCCTCAGGGGCGCGAAGCTTATTTTATCATGTAGTTTATCAATTCTGGATAGCTTTCTTGTCTTTATTCACTTAGTTTTTCGGCTAATCGCTGCATCGTCCGCGTGGCCGTTGGAGCAGCGCCACCGGTGCATCCGGAAATTAGCGGGCAGAAGCTACTCTGCTTTAGATTTAAAATTCTTTTGCTGAAATGTGGAGTTCTTCAGCGTTTCGTGATACTTGTATGCGTCTTTGTGCAGTTTTTGCATGGGGGTTGAAAATTTTCACAGAAACAAAACGCGACTGAATCGTGAACCACAGGTCCGTTTGCTTTAATGTCAAGTTGTGCCTCATCTTCAGTCGTAGTTGAGTTTTTGACAAAGCTTTCGGCTTTCAATGCCTGAAATTTTGGCTCAATCTTGACGTCACGGCGCACCTCATTCATAAGTTTGGTGAATGTGTCCCTAATTTCATTTGTCTTATGGGTGTGTAACCACCCTTTGCACAGTGTAGGGCATATGTGAATTTAAAACTTGCACCACATGCACACGTCAGAGGTGTTTTGGTTGGTTCCCATCCGTATCCTAAGTAAATGCCATCTATGAATTCTAATTTGATCAGATTGAACTTGTATCTGCTTAGTGGTAAGGCATTGAGCCATTTAGTGGCTCCCTTTACAGAGGCCAGGTCGATTTTGTATTTGTCAGTTTCTTATCAGGTTGAAAATTTTCACAACAAAGAAAGCGCGGCTAGTTCGTGAAACACAGAGTCAGTTTGCTCTAATGTCAAGTTGTGCCTCATCTTCAGTTGTAGTTGAATTGTTGACAAAGCTTTTGCCTTTCAAAGTCTGAAATTTCGGCTCAATCTCGACATCATGGCAAACCTATGTGCCAGTCGGTCATATTTGGAAGTTTGACCTTGAGAGAAGCAAAAAACACTTAATTTTGGGGTGAAATTTAATTTTTCAAAAATTCGAATGGAGCCTGTCATGGACGATTTTCTCGCGATAACTGAAAGTCAAAAAAGAGAAGTCAGAACAATCGAGTGACAATCGCGGGAAAGTTGCAAGATAAATCAGTAGGAAATTGCTATTCGCAATTTCCGTCACGGTAATAATCTAGAGTAGAGCTATCCCATTCGAAACAGAAAGAAGCGTATTCCCACGAACTGGATTATTGTGACTTGACTGGAGTATTATTCTAAACTGGACTAGAGTGAACCTTCGGTGGAAAAGTGGACAGCTTGAGTGTCCCAATGGTTCACGAGAAACTTTAGTCTAGAGTACAAACTTGTTCTTGTTGTTAAAACTGACAAACATTAAACTCATTTTAGTTACATTATTTAATTCTCGAGTTGATTACCGACTTGATTACTCCCGATTCTTGAGCGTGCTACAATGTGAGTACTAATTTAAATTTCTAGAGTGTGTTTTATAATTGTTATGTTGAGGTAAGGCGAGTTTTAGGTTGATCCATCTGAAATGGATCAAAGTTCCACTGTCTAATAAAAAATAACTTAACGGATTGTTCCAACCCGGTTTTTAACGGCGTTCATGTATTTTGGGTATCTAGAGACCTAAGTATGAGGACGTTCTTAATTCTAGAGTGGGGGGATATTTTAATAGTAGCCTTTAAGCTGTAACGGGTCGTAGTCTCATGTCACAAACGAACCGAATTGGCTCCGACTGATTTGAGGTAGAAAAACACAAGAGATATTGTCCCTGACTCTTGAGCCAATAGTTATAGGGCCTATTTTTCTTAAGCTTCATGTGTGACTGCAGTAGACGAATGTTACATAGTGTTTTTATGGCGCTCCTGGGTGTTTACGACATCAAGACTACGGAGTCGAACCCACTTGAGACAGCTTCGGGCTAAATGCCCATTCTAGAGTACCGGCGGTGCGGTTCGATAGGAACGTGCAAACCTTCCGGTTGTACCGTGATAGCTTTTTAAGAAAACTCGAGAAAACTTCCTGGTACGCTCTCCGAACGAGGCTTAGCTAACCGAGTAAAGGGGGGCAACTAGGGGGATAAAAACACGAGCAAAAAGACAAAAAGCAAAACAAAAACCAAAAAAGAATAGAAAAAGGAACAAAAACCATAAAACGAAAAAAGACAGTGACTTTGACAGCAGATTAGTTGGATCAAACCTTTATATTAATTAAATAGTATACCCATACTGTTTTACAAGTTCGATCGTTTCGATCAACCTAGTAATTTAATCCAGTAACCTTAATAAAGAGCCCGAGTGTGGGGCGTTGTCAAGGGTTTTCAGATAGCTTGGAACTTATCTGAAACAATAGGAGACTTGACTGGAAGAGGTGACCAGCCGAGTGGTGGTTCAGGAGCACTTGAGCTGAACCAATAGGAGACTGGACTGGAAGAGGTGACCAGTCGAGTGGGAAAGTAGCCAAGAAGGATTTGGCAGTTCTCGAGTTCTCAAGTTGGGCAGAACGGGTATCGTAAAAATTCACATTACATTATAGGAAATAAGTGTAAAATTGGACAAGCGATATCCCCCGGTTTTGAGAAACGTTTTTACTTGAGCAGGCCTGGAGACAGGTCTACGGTTTTCTCTTGAGAGGTTTAGCACCCGGCGCTTAAGGTAATTTTAGGCTTAAGAAGGGGGGCTAAAAAGGGGGGAGGTTAGAAGGGGGGCTGGTTAAGTTAGAGGTTGGCGGTTGTAAATTGTAAAAAGGGGGGAAATTAGAGTAACTAATTAGTCGACATCGTTGATTTAGTTACATTAGTCATTTACACGCGTTGGTCATAGGAAGCGGATATCCAAAATTGGAATTAGGTTAAGGTAGGTACCCTGGTCGGATCGGTAGGGGGAACGGACATAGACAGTTTTTGTGATACCCCATAAGATCGCTAGCAGGTGGGAAGGAAACGCGTGGCAATTAGGTACCAGACATTTTTTCGTAGAAGGTAGACATTTGTCACCTTTGAAATTTAGGTGGGCTCATCTTTCCGTTTTTATTACTTTTTCTAGCTTGGATTTTTGTTGCATTTTGGTGAGGATTTGGGTTTAGTTTTCATACGAACAGGGGATCACAAGATACCTGCGGACAGGTTTTGGTCTCAAGTTGCTTGGAACATTGAAAAAGAGGTAATTAAAAAGAAATAAGAAAAAGGGGGGTCAGCATTTGGCGTTTAAGAGAGGGTTTTTGGGAAAATTTTACTAGAGCTTGAGTGGTGGTACGAGGTACAGTGAATCAAGAAGTCCCCATAACGAAGAAGAAAGAGGTCCCACCGCTCAGACACTTGTCAACAGTCTTGGAATAGTGCCAAAGAAGTCCTGGGACAGTGTTGGACCAGAACAGTCTTGATACAGTCTTGGGACAGTGGTCTTGGGACAGTGGTCTTGGGACAGTGGTCTTGGGACAGTGGTCTTGGGACAGTGGTCTTGGGACAGTGGTCTTGGGACAAGGGTCTTGGGACAGGGTCTTGGGACAGTGGTCTTGGGACAGTGGTCTTGGGACAGTGGTCTTGGGACAAGGGTCTTGGGACAGGGTCTTGGGACAAGGGTCTTGGGAAAGTGGTCTTGGGACAGTGGTCTTGGGACAAGGGTCTTGGGACAGGGTCTTGGGACAAGGGTCTTGGGACACTAGCCTTGGGACAGTAGTCTTGGGACACTAGCCTTGGGACACTAGCCTTGGGACAGTAGTCTTGGGACACTAGCCTTGGGACAGTAGTCTTGGGACACTAGCCTTGGGACACTAGCCTTGGGACAGTAGTCTTGGGACACTAGCCTTGGGACAGTAGTCTTGGGACACTAGCCTTGGGACACTAGCCTTGGTACACTAGCCTTGGGACACTAGCCTTGGGACAGTAGTCTTGGGACATTGGTCTTGGGACACTAGCCTTGGGACAGCAGTCTTGGGACACTGGTCTCGGGACACTAGCCTTGGGACAGTAGCCTTGGGATAGTACTCTCAGGACAAGGGTCTTGGGACACTAACGAAGTACTGGGACAATACCGAACAGTCTTGGGACAGTAGAAAGAAGCCTGGGACGGTACAAAGAAGAGTAGGGACGGTAACTGGAAGTCTTAGGACAGTATAAAAATTGAAGTAAAATTACAACAAGTTGTTTTAAGTCAGAATTAAGACAGAACAAGACTAATTGGAGCCCGGTACGGTTGGGACCACAAATAAAGAAAGTTACTCGAAGATTTTAGAGAACTGGAACAAGGTTTTTATCACGTTGTATATTTTCTTTTAAGAATTTGTTTCCACAAAATTTTTTTTATTCTTAGAATAAAATTGTGTATATAATAATATTGTAAATAAGAGCAATTGTAAATAGAAATAATGAGACGGAGTAGGGTACCGGTGCTTGAAAAAAGGTCAAGTGGATCAAA